CAGGAGCCAGGCAGCCTGGGGCCCCTGCAAAGACCCCTTTCACAGGAGCTGGTTCCACCAGTGACCGGCAGAGCCGCCCTGGAGCAACACAGGACCTTCTCCTTATACTGCAGGACTGATGCCGGGCATGGTCCCTCCCGAGTGACTTTCCCTGGTGTGAGCTGGGCTCTGCTCGGGCCTCACCTCCCAGGAGCAGGGCCATCTCCTATCTGGGCCGGGCCAGCCTGGCCGGGGAAGACGGCCCAGGGGTAGGGAGCATCTTTCCCTGCCCTCTGGTAAACCTTGTAGGCCGCCTAGAGCTGGGCTGCTGACTTGGGCACTGTGCTGTCTTTCTAGCCTACTGGACTTGCGGAACAGGGCAAAGGCCACATCCCTGCCAGGGCCAGGCCTGGCGCCCACCCCACCTCTGCCTCCACAGAGAGTGGGCCTTTCCTCAGCTCTGGAGGATTCTGGTCTTTTTGTGCATCAAAACCACAGGACACAGAACTGTTTTGTCTGACAACAGTCACTCGAGGTCATTTCCATGACCAAACTCAGCGAGGCAGGCACACCGCATTCCTGGGATGTGGCCCCTTCCTGAGCCGCTTGCTGTACAGTGTGGGGTCCAGATGATGTCACTCTGAAAAACAGAGGGACTCGGGGAATGTCGTGCAAGGTTACACACACTGCGCTGGGGATGTAGCTCAGAGATGCAGCGCCTGCCTGGCAAAGGCAAGGTCCTGAGCTTGATTCCTGGTACCCCCCAAAAAAGTCTACACAAACTACTAACAAACGGGGGCCACTCCTCCTGTTGGGCTTACTTCCCCGCTGGGCAATTCTCAGAATGTACAGGGAGTTCATACTTGTTTATCATGCTAATAACAATGACAGCCAGCCCAGCAGACACATTTTAATTTCAGAAAAATGTTTAGACCTCGGCATGCTGATTTATTTACATCGTTTTGTAAGCAAACGGAGACCAGCGGATTCTAACGGCTCTCAGACATGAAGGTGCAGAGTCTAGGCTCTCAGACATGAAGGTGCAGAGTCTAGGCTCTCAGACATGAAGGTGCAGAGTCTAGGCTCTCAGACATGAAGGTGCGGGAGTTCTGTGGGGTGAGGAGAGCTTGGAAGGGAGCTCTGAGGATTGAGAAAGAGGAGCCAAGGCACACACTTGGGAAGTCGGCTGCTGGGTTTTTCCAACGGCTCAGGCCCCGGGCATTTGTGTAAGATGTTTAAAATGTCGTTAGGCAGAGCATGGCATCACACGTCTATAAACTCCACGCTCGGGAGGCTGAGGCAGGAGGACCGCTGCAGTTTGAGGCTAGCCTAGGCCACATGAGTTCAAAAAGACAATAAATAAATAGTCATTGGCATTTGTGGTTTCGTTTACTGGGCTTTTTTCACTTACGAATTTAAATTTTAGAGCAGCTTCAGGTTAGCAGAACACTGAGCTGAACGCAGAGTCCGTAACCTCTGGTGCTTGCTCCTACGTGCCCCGCAGTGCCCGCACCCTTGTGGGGCTGTGCTCCCAGACGAGCTGGCGCAGACTCGCTGCTGTTAACCAGAGCGCACAGGCCGCTTCACTTTACTTATTTTTTATTCTGAGACAGGGTTTCACAAAGTCACTACGTTGCCTGGGTTGAGTTCAAACCCAGGGTTGTGACATTCCTGCCTCAGCCTCTTAGGGTGCTGGGTTACAGGGACGTGGCCCCAAGCTGGCGGGCTCCGCTTTGGGGTTTCACATTCTGTAGGTGCAGACACTGTGTGACAGCCCGTGCCCCCGACCCCTGTACCCTGCAGGGAAGTACCTCCCCCCATGTGTGCTCCCCACCCACCAACCCGGGACACCTCAGATCTCTGCCCCTCGAAGCCAGGCGGGGGCAGTCCTGCGGCCTGGCCTTTCCACGTGGGCTTCTGAGAACATGCGCTTACGTTTCCCTCCGGTTTCTCTGGGCTACAGCTCATTTCGTGTCTGGTGCTCACGGACTGCTGGACGGTCTACTGAAGGACGGCCCCGCCATTGCCAGCTTCGAGCATTTATCCCTCAGGCTTCCCTGCCAGCCCGCGGCAGCCTTTCATGTGCGTGAGTTCTGAACTCTCTGGGGGAGCATGAAGGAGCCGGGGCGCAGGGTCATACAGTGGGGTGCACTCAGCTGGTAACGGACCCCCCAGCCTCCTTCTAAGGACGATTCCATTCCCCACCGGCGCCGACCACTTCCGGCAGCTCGTCCATCCGCTGCTGCAGGGTTTGGGCTGTGTGGCTGTGCCAGGCGGGGTGCCGTCTCTCCATCTCTCCGTTGTTCTACACTGCACTGCCCACCCGCCTGCCGGCCGCCTGGGTGCCTTCTCGGGGCGGCTGCCTGGTGCTTTCACCATGTGGGGTTGCATCCTCTTGCTCAGTCCTGAGGCTTCTTGGTACATCTGGGATAACGGCCCTTTCCAGGCCAGGGCTGGGCTTCTGGGTTTTGTAATAGCATCTCCTGCAGAGAGACGTTTCAAATTTTACAAACTCAACTGACCAGACTTTTCTCTCTTGGATCTTGCTTTTGGTGCTACTTTTAAAACCTTATTGCTTAGGTAAGGGACTCAGAGGAAATTCAGACGTTTAAGGACAACTTCTTGTCATATTTTTAAAGTGGATCGTGGTGGTTATTGGAGCTCTCACAGAATGTAGACTCTGGGGATCCTCTTATTTACAGTTTTGAGTATGTCAGGTTTTATGCTCTTGGCAGCTATGTAAACTTCTGTTGAAAATTTTTAGACAGAGAAATGCTCTGGGATGCCCACAGCCATGCAGGGCCCTCAGTGAAGGCCAGCAGAAAGTGGACCCTGCTCCACCAAGGATCGGTCCGGGCTGTGCCAGTCCCCAGTTCCTGGGCCCAGCATCCTCATCAGACAGATGGGGCTGGCGGAAGGATGTGGGGAACTTGTGAGCCACAGGAGGAACACAGATCAGGGCTCCTGGGTAAACCATTTTACTGTGAACCCATCTGTGTCGAGCCCCAAGCTGGGGGCTATGGGTGCTGAGGGCTGCAGGTGCTGCCCTTTGGGGAAAGGTCCGGCTGTTCTCCTGAGGGTGACACGGTGGCCTCAGTGTCCCAGCCACAGTTCAGCTTGGGCCTGTGCCCTGGGGCAGGCACATCTGCTTGGGCTCTGTGGAGCGGCATCCCCAGAAGGCCTCAGGCCTCCTTTTAACTGAACTGAGTCCCACCCTATAACATCTGGCCCCCGGAAGCCACAGGGAACCTGACTCCCCAAACCTACAGCTGTATCCGTGCGGCCCTCCCGACCCTGTGACCAGGCCTCTGAGTCAGTGGCTGTGCCTGAGAAGCAGACTGCATGCAGTGTACATGGAGTCCTCTCCTGTGTCACTAGCAGTGTGTAGGAGGTGCAGCTTGGCCAATCCCAGCCTGAGAATCCACTCAGGTCGGGACACCCTGGCCTCTCTGCCCATGACATGGGTCCCGGTCATGTCTGTTCCTGGTGGGGAGAGGCAGACATGGAGCCCACCAGTGCTGGCTGCTGTCAGGGCCCATGGAGATGGAGACAGGGCAGACACAGCGGGCACGGACTGGAACCTACTCCAGTGTGCCTCCCTACCCACCAGCCAGGGTGGGGCAGTGTCACAGATCCACCCATCTCCAAAGGCTGTGAGTGCCCAGCTAGGACTGGGTCACTGCACTGGTCCCTCAATAAGGGTTTCAAGAACCCAAGACCACGGTGTGGTATTTGCACTGGCTGAGGGATCGGGAAGCCAGCACTGGCCCAGCCCTTGACTCCGGGAAGCTGATCTCAGGGCTATGGGATGGTTGCAGAGCTGCCCCAGAGCCCATATCTACGTGGCAACATCTCTGAGGTGCGAAGAGGCATGGGGTCCTGGCTGCAGTGGGTTTCGGGAGAATCAAGGTGCACCCCAAACTCAACAGTGCAAGAGCCCCAGACTCGGGCAGTGTGGGAGGAGCAGAGTCAGAGTGGACAGCCGAGTGGTGCCCAAAGCCTGTGTGAAACACGCTGGGCCCCCACCTTTCCCGAGGACGGGCAGCAGCTCCTTGGGTGAACAGACTGCCAGTCTGAACCCAGAACCCGGGAGATGTGTGTCACAGCCTCACGGCGCTCCTCCTTAGCAGCCCAGGCTGCAGTGGGGCTGGGAACAGACCATCAGGACACCGGCAAGGGGCCTTCTCGGGCCATGCTGAAGGTCCTACAGGCAACTGGAGACCTTGGGTCTTCATATGCAGATTTATGTCAAATGAGATGCAAATCAAGGCGCTGTGCTCTTAAGTCCTGGCCCCTCCGGCTCCTAAGATGATGACCCCGGGACCCCTCTCATCTCCAGGATACAAAATGTGCGAGAGCCGAGAGCCGGGCGGGAAGAGAAGGGAAAGGCGCGAGGCGCTGAGCGCGCCTGGGTGGGAGACAGCGCGGCGGGGCCGAAGGAAGAGGAGAAAGTGTGGCGCGCCAACGCGGGCAGCGGCCTGGGGGCTTCCTGCAGGTTGGCACGAACACGACTGATATGCAAACGAATGCAAAGCAGACGCGGCTGCGGGCCCGCGGCGGCGGGGCGCCGGGCTCCTGCGCGCTCCCCGCGGGCGGCCCTTCGCCGCTGGCCCCTACCCGAGCGCGCGGCGGTGAGCGCGCGCCCCCTGCCGGCCGCGCGCGGAGGTGGCCCCGGGCCCCGGCGGCCCAGCGCGGGGAGGGCAGGCGCGGGGGGCGCGGCGGCCGGAGGAGGCGCGCAGGATCCCCGCCCGCCGGGCGCGGATGCCGCGCTACGAGCCGCGAGCCCGGCGGCCGCGACTCTCCGAGGTGGGTGTGCACGGCGGCGCGGGAAGCCCGCGCGAGCCCCGGGTGGCCTGCAGCGGGCGGGGGGGAGGGACAGCGCCGCGCCCCGCGCCCCTCCCTGCGCACCCCGCGCCCGACCCGCGCGGAGTCTGCGGGGGGCGGAGCGAGTCCTCCGGGTAGGAGCTCCGGGAACCGGGCGGCAGGCGGGTTGGGAATCTCGGGGGGCGGGGATCCCGGGGCGCCCCCTCCTCGCCCGAGGCGGGGCGAGCGCGGGGTGCAGGCGGGAGGCAGGTGGTGCGCGCTCGGGCAGAGGTGGCGGCGGCGGCCGCGAGGCCAGACCGCCCGGCGGGTGCGCGCTTTGTTCCCGCGCGGCGACCCCCGCGTGGCCCTGCGGCCGCCAGCGCCCCGCCCCGCCCGAACCAGAGGAGACGGTGGCCGCCGGAGCGCTGGGGCGCAGCAGGACGACGAGGAGAGAGCGCCCGCCGCCGGGGGACAGGGACCGGGACCCGGGCCGTAAGTGCCGCGTCGCCGCTGTCGCTGGTCGCGCTGTCGTCGGAATCTGCGCCGCACCCCACTTCCACTTTGCAAAGTTTGTGCCCGCGGCCGGGGCAGCTGCTCGAGCCCGCGTCCAGCCCACTGCACCCTTGGGTGGGTGGGGAGCTCGACCCGCCGGGTAAGAATGAGCTTGGGGCTCCAGTCCCGGATATTGGGGCGGGCTCCACAGCCTAGTGACAGGCGGAGGCGACCCTAGCAGAAAAGAACCGAAGCCTGGCTGGGGAGAGGGTCTGCACCCTCCTACGCGGCCCTTTCCTGTTTTGACCCCTGAAGTTGCCAGACCAGGTTGGAGGTGTAAGGGCCCCCGCGCTCCGGGGTCGGGACAGTGAGGCGCTCTGTGGGGCATCCTCCCCCGGCCCCTGGGAACCGTCCATCTGTGGGGCAGGCTGGGAGCCAGGCTGTGGGAACGTGGGGGAGGTGGGAGCCGGTGGAGGACAGATGGCTGGAAATTCAGCCTAGCGGCTGGCTGTGGCACAGAAGGCACCGGCTGGTGTGCCCAGCTCGAGCGAGTGCCCTGGACCCGCAGCCCGGATGTGGTGTGTGGTGGGCCAACCTGCGCAGAGACCCTGCCCTCGGACTGTGGGAGTTTGAGGCAGGGTGGGGGTGGGGGCTCCTTGGGAAGGGGACATCTTTGCTGGTGTTTGCCTGGAGGATCGCAGTAACCGTCAGACCGATTCTCCGACCCCACAGCCAGGATGTCGCCCCATTATGTGTGCTGGGCGTGGGTTTCCTCTCTGGACCCAGAGGCGGGAGGTTCCCAGGGCACTGCTCAGAGAGGGCTGGCTGGAGGGAGACAAAGGGGCGGCGACGTCCTGGCGCTGGCCTTGTGAGTTGCTGGGAGGTCTGGGAAACTAACTCCTGGAGGCTGGCTCTCCTCTGTCTGGCAGACCCCACGCAGTGGGCAGGGCTGCCCGCCATCCGCTTGCTGGCCAGGCAGGGGCCGGAGGTCTGTGGGAGTTGCCAGGCTCCCCAGTGGAGGGCTGGCATGGGGTGCGTGGCCCCGACATCATCCTCTGGGTGGCCTTTGGAAGACTGGAAGGGGTGGCCCTGTGCTGTGAGCCCCTGCTGAGAACCTGTCTGAGCAGGAAGGACCACGCTGCCAGCCTGACGGCCCTTCTGTGCTGAGCGCTGAGCGTTAAGCGGCCTCGGGGAGAGGGGAGTGGGGGCAGGGGCAGCAGATGTGGCAGACGCTGCCAGAGTGAGGCGAGACTCGGGAGGGAGGACAGCACATCGCAGCACCATTTCCTGGGGAATCCGCAGTGAGCTCGTGTGACGGGAAGGACGGAAGGGTCCTGTGAGCCGATCTGGCCCTGGGGCCGAGGACCGCCACACACCCAGCCAGGACACCCCAAGCTCTCTCCCCTGTCACCAGGTTATCCGTGTAATTCAGTTACCAGCCAGGAAATCTCCCCGATTCAGCGCCACAGATTTTCATTCCCGCATGACTGGAAGAAATTAATTTTCCTTCCTACACAAGGATCTGGAGACACCGGCAGGCTGGGTCACTAATCTGCAGGCCCCAGCCGGCCGGCCGAGGTGGAGGTCAGGCTTCCTGCTGCGCCCTGGCCACGAGGTTTCCCTGCCACCTTCTGGAACCATCTGGCGCTCTGGACTGCCTCCCCTCCCTCGCCGCGCTGCGAGCAGGTTGAGTTTGGGATTCTGATTCATCCGCCTCCCACGCGTCCTGGGTGGCAGTAGGGTGGCGGGATTGTGCCCATCTGAGTCTCCTCCCCAGTGGGGAGAGTGGGGAGCAGGTGTGATCGTCCCCACTCCACGGATGTGTGTGTACACACAGGTGTGCCCAGGGCCGGCATCAGCCCACATGTGCAGAACTGGAGGCCCCGGGTGGGGGACCGGCCTTCCTGTGGGCTCCCTGTCGTGCCTGCCATCACTTCCCATGGCTCTGTGCTCACGCTCAGGGTCTGCTGTCCCTCGCCACTGCCAAGCCCCCCGAGACCTGGGAAGAGCTGGCACCTTCCCTCTCTCTGTGCCGACATCTTGCGGTTCTGCTGCGTCCTGCTGGCTCCATCCCTGGGTGTCAGGCCCTGGGGGCCCCGAGCACCATAGTGCTGCAGGTGACTAGGGCGGGGGACCTGTCCTGTATGCCTCAGGCAGGTGGGGCACAGGGGTCCCCGATGTCAGGGTCACCTGCTCCGGACCGTGTCTGGGGCTTAGGGCAGCCCCATCCCCACCACCCCTGGGCCTGTGTCTCCCTGCTGGGTTCCCACACACCCTGCTGGCTGTCCCAGCAGACACGGCCCACGGCTGGCAGAGGCCCATGGCCGCTGCATCCCGTTCTGGGCTGTCACTGGGAGGTGGGGTGGCTCTGCTGGAGCCACTCTGCTGCCCGAGGCTCCGGTAGTGTTTGCCAACCATCACACATGCCCTGGGCAAATATTGACTGAACACCTCCTCCTTGCTGGGGCTGAAGAAGAGAAGACTAATACCGTGGGCTCAGGGGGCCCACATGTGGGGCGCCAGGCCGCCATGCTGGCCTGCACTTCTCGTTGGGTCCTCATGACAACCCAGGGTCTCTGCCTTCCAGACCCCGAGAGGTCAGCACCTGCAGCACAGCAGCTGGGGCTGAGGCCCCCACTTCACCCTCCCTGCGCTGGAGCCTGGGTGCCCTGAGGCTGGAGGATGCTTCGAGGCTTCAGGAAGGCGCACCGCCCCTCGGAGGGACCGGGGCTCACCCAGAGCCGTGCAGAAGGCCTGGGGCTGCTTTCCTCCAGGCTGTGGGGTCTCCATCAGGCCGGGCAGCCGCTTGTGGGCTTGTGCTCCCTGCACTCTGCCTCTGGAAGGTGCCAGCGTGGGGCAGCCATCAGCACTGGGTGGGCCCCTGGCTCTGCTGTCTGCAGTCACAGACGACTCGGGACATCCAGCGTCCCTGGGAGGAGAGCAAGGCAGATATGGCCAGGGTCAGGACGCCTCTGCTCAGATGCAGCCTACAGTGCCCCAACCTTGGCCAGTGCCACACAGCTGTCAGCCTCTGTGGCTGCTGGGCCCCATAAGGGCATGGTGCCCACAGTCCCCAGGCGGCCAGGCTGGTGCTGAGGGCAGCAGGAGAAGGAGGCTAAGGACATCGTGTAGGGCAGCAGAGGCCACTTGCAGGCCACTCCCAGACACCCTCGGGGCTGGGGAATGGGACTGGGTAATGGACGACTCCTGAGGACCACAGGTGGGACAGGCGTGGCCTCGCCGGGCTCCCGAGTATCCCCATGACAGGCGGGATGTGGAAGGCCCTTCACCTGGCCGTGGCCCCTAGCTCTTCCAAGGCCATGGGGAGAGGGAGCAACCCCGTGTCTGACCCCTCCCCTCAGCTGTGTGACCTGTTCACCTTCTCTGTCCTCGGGTCTGGGTGGGAAACACAGCTTCAGCTGATGCCTCTTCCGATCATCGGGAATGTGCAGGCTCTTGGGGGTGCAGAGCAGTGTGGGCAGGTGGCTGCACCCTGGCCCCACCCTGGAAACTCACCATCCCCCATCCTCCCAGGCAGAGCAGCCCCAGACTCCGTGCTGGTGTCCTGTCCCCTGGAGGGCCAGCCAGCAAGCAGGAGCCAGGCCCTGAGCCAACAGAGGGGAGGCCGACACTGCATGGGGCAGAGATGAGGCTGAACCCTGGCTGCAAAGCCACAGCAGCTCAGCCCTGCGGCCCTCAGAGCCCGGGCTACCACCTATACATGTCCCGCTGACCCCACGAATCCATGTCCCCTCTGCCTGTGGCCAGGTGCCTTCCCAGCCTGGGAGTCACAGCCATGAGGGCCGCAGGGTCCCCCGTGTTTCTCTCCATTTTCCGGTGCCCTGAGCGTTGTGGCACCACTGCTCCGTAGTCACAGGAGTGGAGTGCTCACATGGTGGCTGCGGGCGTCATGCCCTGGCCTCCAGGTGACAGAGCCAAGGCCCCTGTGCCAGGCCCCTTGCTCAGTGGCCATGTGAAAGGGGGGAAAGAGACCAGCAGACTGCAACCGCATCCTGCATTTCCCTCAATCCCACTGCGATGTGGATGTCGCTGGGTCCCTTCTCTGTGTGCGCTGGCCCTGAACTTGGGCCTCTGGTCTCTAGGTCCAGCGGGTGCTGCCCCCTGGGCCCATCCCCACAGGTCTCGCAGGCTCTGTGTTTGGCAGCGCAGGGCACAGGGACCTTCCCGATGACCACAGGAGCAGGAGAGGTGACTGCTGTGGCCTGGGGGGGAGCACAGTGGGGAAGGAGGGAAGCAGGATCCCAGGTTGGTGGACATTGGCCTTCTTCCCTGGGCCGCAGGACTGGCCATGGAGGGCCATTGTGGGGGACGGAGAATGAGGGGTGCCCTGCGGTGACCAGGAGCGTGGGGCCTTGCCCCTGACTGTTGCCGAGGTTCCTGTGGTGCCACAGCACTTGGCCACACGCAAATTCCCATTGACACGTTTGCTCTGTGCCTGGGCAGGGGCTGAGTGTGCGTGGGTGTGCACAGGCCGGGACCTTGTGACCAGCATTTCCACGTCCACTTCATCCACGCCGTGCAGTGTAGCCACCCTTCACTTCATTGCAGTGTTGGCCGACCCGGCTGCATTTCCGCCGTCTGTGGGTCACTTGTGGGTGCGCGTGACGTATGTTGTCACCCCTCAGTGTGGTCCCCGCAGTAGGCCCTGGGCTGCACGGCCTCCAGGGCCGCATCCCTTGGGTGCCAAGCAGTGGGTCAGGAGCCGGGGACGCCCTCGCCAAGTGCGGGGGGAGACTGTTTGCATGGCCGTGACCCAGCTGCCTGCAAGCTGTCATTGTATTTGGTTCCACAAACAGTCGCTGGATCTCGCCAGCACCTGCTCCCACCCCCCTGGCTTGAACCAGATTCTGTACCTGACTTTCCTGCTTGTTCCTGGACAAGGGCTGGGGGACCCCTTGGTGTCCAGAAGTGGAACAGAGCACAGCTGGGCCCCATCCCGCCTGCTGTCCACGCCACCCCACTTCCTAGCCGCCCCTGCTCAGGGCCTTTGCACACTGTCCCCTCTGTTGAAGATGCTCCCTGGGCACGTGCACGGCACCCACCTTCCTCCCCTTCAGGTCCTTCTCCAAGGCCCCTCTTCAGTGGCACCCACAGGCCCACCCTCTTCCCCCACCATATTTTCCTGCTGGTTGTGGTCGCTTCCCCTCTGGTCACTCCGTATGGTGGGTCTTGTTTGTTCCATACCCTTGACACCAGGGGGCCTGGATTACAGGGACTATGCCTTGTGGTAGGATTAGGGGCCTAGGGCCACTGACGGCCAAGGGATGACCACACAGGTGCCTGGGAAGGGTCGAGAGGTGGTGCCCATCTGCCTGCCAGCTGCCAGGGTGTTTGAGCCTGTGCTCAGCCGCTGGGTTCTTTCAGCTGGCTTTGGGGTGGGGGCAGCTCAGGCTGATGTGGACAGCTGGTCCTCAGCCCGAATCCTTCCCCTTTAGACACATGTCCTGGGGCTTTCCAGCCAGGCAAGGGGCCGGGCCTAGGGGCAGCGCCAGAATGACCGCTCTGGCACGTTCTCAGGTCCTTGAGGATGGGGCCTGTGGGGCATCACCTGCCAAGGCTGTCCAGAGCCATGCAGGACGGTGGTACCATAGCCACCACTCTTCATGAACAGCCAGAGTGACCTTCTGCCTGACAGAACCAGCCAAGGTGGCCTGGGGTCCACCTGGCTTAGGGGGCACTGGCCACTGCAACCCCAGCTGCTGTCTCCCCCACCTGGGACACCCAGGCTGCACCGTGAGCAGTTGGAAGAGGAGACGTGGACAGAGGCAGGGCCCTGCAATGGGGACCCACATGCTGGGCAGCTCTGATTCACTCCTGTGCCAAGTGATGGGGGGGTACCGCTGCACCCTACCTCATCCAGCTCCCGGCAGGCAGACACTGCCCTCAGGGACAGTGGCGGTGTCAGAGAGAAGCAAGCAGAGGGGCAGAGGGACAACTTCTGCTCCTGCGGGGATGCAGGTCGAGGTCACCATCTGGCTCAGGCCTGGTTTCTTGGATAAAGGGACAGAGGGGGTGGCTGTGCCAAGGCCCTGGGGCAGGAGCGAGCCTGGCCTGAGGAGGGACATTGAGGGGCCTCAGAGTGGAAATGTCCCTGGAGGCCATGCTGGAGAATGTGGGCTGAGGCCACAGAGGCGTGGGGACAGGAGCCCAGTGTGGCACTAGAGCACTGTGGGCCGGGCTAGGCTCGCCACTCAGCCTGCGCTGCGGGTCTCCACCTGTTTGGGAAACCAAGGCTCCAAGTGCCCCCTGCAGACCACAGGCAGCACTGTGGGACGTCCTGCAGGCCTCCCTCGCCCTCCCACAGCCCTGCCCAGGCGGCAGCGACAGGTTTGGAGGTGTGAGAGCCAGCAGGCAGGGCACGCGGCTTGGGGACACTGCTCAGCTGCTAATCCCCTAAGGCAGCAGCAGCACAGAGCGGGCGTGGCACAGGTGTTTCACTCCCAGCCACACTCCTGGGCGTACTGCAGCAAGGTGCCAGAGGGGACCCTGAACTCAGCTCCACAGAGTCACACTGGGGTCCCGGGGTGAGGTCTGCACGCAGGCCGACAGGTGATCTCTCCCAGCCTCAGGTTCCCCACACCCCCACCTGCCCGAGCTGTCCCTGCAAGCAGAGGCTGTCGCGCCAAGGGTCCCCCTCCTGGCACAGGCAGGCCCCTTCCCGGGAGAACCCCGAGGCTGCTTGGTGGGGCCGGATCTGCTGGCAGCCCCGCGAGAGCATTTGGAGGAATGAGTCAAAACATCCAGAAGGTTCCGCCTGGAGGGCAGGGGCGGAGCCGGCTCTGTGTCTCCCCCAGAGCAGCTGCTGCCCCGGCTGTGACAGCGCCCGTGCCAGCGCCCGGCCCATCTGGCTGCCTGGCGACTTCCCAAGGCTGGGCTGGCAGAGTGATGGGCCCCCACCCAGTACCCCACGCGTCAGGGACACTGGGTGACACCCCCTGGCAGGACGGCGGGGAACCCTCCACGTCAGGACCCTGACGTGACCCGAGAGCGTGGGGCAGCCCTGGCTGCTGGCCTCCAGGACGGTCCCTGTGCCTTCCTTGCCCTGCCACTGGCACTGGGGGTGGAGGACTCCATGACCCTGAAGCAGAGGACACGTGGCCAGGCAGCAGCCCAGCTGTGCATCCCTCTGTACCCCACCCTGTTCTGTCTGCCAGCTCCGAGAATCCCTGCCTGATCAGCCTTCTGGATGCTGGATGTGCTCCTTCAGTCTCAGTGGCATTTGTGCCCTGGCCTGGGGCACTGGGAAGGTGGGCACATGCTCAAGGCCCACCCTGGCCACTCTTCATCCCACCCTAGGCCCACCCTAGCCGTGCTGACTTCAGGAGTATGAGCATCATGAGCCTACGCCTGCCCTGTCCTCAGAGCTGGCTGGTGGCTCCTGTGGTCAACACTGCCCGTGGTCTCAAGGCATTGTCCTGAGAGAGATGTGACCACGGGCCCTGCTCAGCCGCCTGCACTCCAGTCCTGCCCTAACCTCTGGGTGGGGTGGCACAGAGCCCTGGTCACCTTGCCCCCCCTCCATGTGCCACAGCCCCAAGGGATGGGCCAGGGGGGCACCCTGCTCTGCATCCCCCCAGTGGGAAGCCCAGCGCTCGGGCCACAGCCTAGCCCTGCCTCAGCAGCTCCAGATGTAAGGGAGCCGTGTACGGAGCTGCACATTGATTTCAGCACATGTGGACTCTGGTTCCGAGGCCTCCAGAGAGGGCCCAGACCTCAGGACACTCACAGGCAACGGCAGGGGGTGCACTGGTGTGTGTGTGTGTGTGTGTGTGTGTGTGTGTGTGTGTGTGTGTGTGTGAGAGAGAGAGAGAGAGACAGAGACAGAGACAGAGAGAGTGAGCGAGCACGTCCAAGGCCCCCAGCCAGGTCCCACTTGCAAATCGAAGGCAGCAGGGAACCGCCAGGCTGCTCGGCTGAGGAGGAGGCGGCTGCGGGGCAGAGCAGCCCCGGCCTCACACCTGCAGCCATGACCTCCCTTGCTGGGCTGCGTGGCCTCAGCTCACTGTGTCCGCCTCCAGCCCCGTTCCTCCGCATGGGCTCTGGGACTTCAGGGTTCCCTGTGGGGCTGGGCCTGTGTGACAGGGTTTCTCACGCTCCCTGGCTGCCCGTGCAGTGCAGATTGCAAGGCTGCTCCGTGCCGTCCTCACCGGCTGTCGTATGGAATCAGTTAAAGCTATTACCTGTCCGCCTCGTAGCAGAGGCCAGGGACGGAGGCCAGGCCAGCAGCACTCGAGGTCCTGCCTGACGCAGACCCAGGCCCAGGACTTGACCTTGGCTATGCTGCTGCCCTTGTGCCAGAGGGCATCTGAACAGGCCACGCACAGCAGTGACTTTTGCCACTGCGGATGGCTAGTGGCACCAACATCCGTGGAAGACTGTTTCCTGGGGCCGCACCCCCACTTGGCCACGGTCATCCCCAGTGGCCCTGCCACCACTGACCTGATTCCTGGGGTCCCCCCTGCCACACAGGCCACAGGTTACAGGGGGCGTGGGGCGTCGGGAGGGGGCTGCAGGCCGGACCCACCAGGGAGGCCGGGGAGGAAGTGCCCATGTGGCTGCAGGACCAGGAAATCCTGGCTGGCAGGGTGCCACCATCGTCACCAGCCAGACGTGCTTCGGATCCTTGCCAGGCGGGTGGGGGTGGGGGTGGCACCGGCTTCCCCACTCCATGCCATCCTTCCTGCTGCCTGCGTGTAATTAACAGAGTAATTAAAAACAGGATGAGTTAATTGGTATTCATTTATGTGGCAGATGTTTTTAATTGAGGCAGGAAACAATTTACCTGTTTACATAAACAATGGCAAAGGCAGCCTTGTAAAACACTTCTTTACCTCTTCCTCCCCCTGCCTAAAGAGAAGAATCGAAAGTGCCCATCCCGGTGGTCCCTGCGTGGCCCGGCCATGGCCTGTGGAGGAAACATCTGTACTGGGCTTGCTTCCTCCCGAGCAGGCAGGGAGGTGGTGTCCTAGGTCTGGGGCCCCGCAGCCAGCAGGGGAGACCCCAGCCTCGGGGAGGGCCGGAAGGGCCAGGCGGGCTCGGCGTCCATGGTGACGCCGTGCAACAGGACAGTGGCCACCTCAGCGTGGTGGCTGAGATTCATTGAAATCAGGTGTACAACGCGGCTCCTTCTTGGATAGTGACCTTGCGCTCTCGCAGGCAGGCCTGGAACTTCACACCGCGCTGCCCTGCTTCCCCTGGGACACAAGGGCGCTGTGACCAGCCCAGGGGAGCACGCTGGGCTGCCTGGCCTTGGCCTGCAGGGGGCGCTTGAGAAACGGGGCTGCGGATGCCGCCTGTCTGCAGGTGGGTTCCACTCGGCACCTGCTGGGCACTGGGCCTGCTGCTCCCAGGCCCAGTCGCTGGGCTTATGGATGACTCTGATTCCTGGGGTGATGCCTGAGGGAGGGGAAACCGAGGCTTATAGGCTCAGGATGGGGTTGTGCGCCAGCAAAGGTTCCCTGGCTGGGGTGGAGATGCCCATTGTGCCATCCATGGCAGCAGCTGACTGAGTAGTGGCCCTGGCCAGTGTCTGGAGCCACCCCGATGCAGGGTTGGGGGCCGTCTTTCCCGGACCCTTACTCCCAATACTGCACTGCCGTATGGTGCTGACTGTGCGGTCACCTGGTGCCAGCCATCCTCACCCACAGGAGGAAGTGTGGCAGATAGAGGTGGCAGCTTGGGTCCCACGGGCTGTGTGGGACCTGCATCGTCCATGTGCACATCAGGCATCTGCGCTCGGCCTGAAGCCTCTGCTGCCCCAGGAGGCGCTCCCACCCTGCCAGACTCATGGGCCCACGTGAGCAGCGTGTTCCTCACAGTCCAGGGCGGGTGCGGCCTCCCCACCAGCCTTGGCCCTTGCCGCAGGCACAGTGGCCTGGCCTCTGCTGACTCCAGGCTCAGCAGTCAGGACAGGGAGGGAGGATTCGTATCCAGGCCCATGTCAGGCCCAGAGGTAGCCCTGTGCATCTGTGCATTAACCAGCAGCCTCCCTGTGGGGATGGACTGAGACGGGCTCCCTGGGATGTCAGCTTGCCGCTGAGGGGAGGTGCACAGAAGGTAGCGACCAGATCCCTGCCACTGCCCTGTGGAGGGGCTGTGTCCTTGGCCAGGGTCAGCACCTCCTGGTCAGGGAGAATCCCATGTGGGCGTGTGTGCACACAAGCAGACAGGTGTGGCCAACGCGTGTACATATGCAAGTGTGCACATTCACATATGCATGAGCACCCACACATACACGTGAGGGCATACACACATGCACAGTGCATGCACAGGATCATACATGGGTATGCACACACACACAAAGCTGCAAGCTGTGGTCAGGCTGTGTGTGACTGTGCTCCTGCCTGGAGTACCCATAACGCCCCCATGACACTCAGAAGGGGAGCCTTGTGACATCCCAAGAGACCATGCACAGGACCCTTGGAGATGACCCTGCTCAGCTGAGGGTCCCCAGGGCAGCCCCTGTGTGCCCAGCTGCCTGCCGGCTCATGGTCATCCTTGTGCCCATCGGCCCCACCGTTCGCACCCACTGAGCCCTGCAGGGAGTGTGGGAAGGGGCCAGATGTGCCTGGCCTAGTGTGCCCTCCTCCCGCCACCCTGCCTGGCTGGCCACCTCCTGGCAGCGGGCAGCCCAGATGGCGGGTTCGCCTCCCCCAGCTCTCAGGGAGCTGTGGCTGTGCGGCCGGCAGCTGGGCAGGGAATGTGCTTCCTTCAGGCGAGCAGGGCCGCGGGTGAGCAGCCCTGGACATCTGGATCCCATCTGCGGCCCTCAGGGAGCACAGGCAGCTCCAATCCCAGCCACTCTGAGCCCCTCCACAGGCAGAGCGCCAGGGAGGGCGGGCATGCCTCCCCAGGCCACACGGCCGAGAGTCTGGCTCACTGCAGCTGTGGGCTCCCAGCTGACCTGAAGCCCAGCTCTGGCAGAGAACCCACAGTGTCTCTGGGCTCTCCGGGACCCCACACACCCTCTGTGTCTGTTTCTCTGCGTGGTGTCAGCACCGGGTGTCCATGGCTCCATTTGGGCAAGAGAGGGAAGTTCAGGCTGAACAGGAAAGTGCCAGCCGATCGCTTTCACAGCGTGTCCTCAGCAGATCTGCTGGACTCGGGCCTTGCCCATCAGAGAAGCTTATGACGAGTGTGTGAGTATTCTCCCAGGGCATCCCCTCACGGTCTGGCCTCACCAGCATGTGCATGGTGTGTCCCTGGTGCTCTTGGCTGTGTTTCTTTTTTGTTGCTGTATAGTATTCTACCGTATGGCTGAACCACAAAGCACAGTCATTGGAGAGGTCCAAGCTGGGCCTCTTGGGATGATTAGCTCAGAAGACACGAGACTGTTGGCTCTGCAGAGAAAATGCTGGGCTGGGGTGCAGGTGTTCAGATGGGCAGGTGCTGGCAGAGGCACAGAGAGAGGCACTGTCCTCCAGGGCTCTGGGGGGAGCAGCTCCATCACCACGAGACAGGTCAGAGCCGGCATGTCCTCTGCTTGACAGCCAGGGACCGCTGTCCCCTCCCCAGGTCTCCCTGAACTGGTCCCCCTGTCTGTGCCGGCCCAAGCACACTGCAGCCTGCGGGTAGAGTGGCCCTGCTGTCCCTCGCTCAGGGCCCAGTGGTTCTTGGGACTGTGTCAAGGTCCCTGTCCTGACAAGAGGGCTCCACCATGGACTCTGGGGGGCATCCCCGCCCCGGGCTGCAGGCCACTCACAGCAGCCCAGACGCAGTCTCTCCCTGTCACCTGAGCGCATGGACTCCCGAGGGCTACGGCCCAGGGCCCTCCCCGGGGCCCGCACGCAGGGTTGGAAAAATAGTTCCAGCATGTGAGACCCGGTAGCCCCAGACAACGTGGCCAGACACCAGGGTCCAGGAGGAACCCTGAACCCCAGCTTTCTGGGAGGCCCCAAGAAACCCCTACCCAGGTCACCTGCGGCCTTCAGAAAGCACCTGCAGGGGCTGGTATTTAACTCAGCGGCATAAGCGCCTGCCTGGCAAGTGCAGAGTTGTGAGTTTGATCCCCGACACCAAAAAAAGAAACAGCACCTGTACCCATGGGTGGCACCATGGTGGCAAGGACCCTCCTGGGCTCTCGAGTCCCTGGCGCCACCACACCCGGCCTTTCCAGGGTCCACAGAAGCAAGGCTATGGTGCTGAGCACCCCGCATGCAGAGCCCACGTCCCCAAGCAGGACGATCCCGTCACGCCGCCTGGCAGGCTCTGGGCACATCCTGGTCACCGCCAGCCTCCCCCACTGCGCGGTATGGTGCTGGCGTAAGCTCACAGTAGTTCTGGGGTCCTGGGCCGGCATGGATGCCCTCTGTCCCCATCCCTGAGGCCTGGGCCTGGTCCCTAGGCCTTCACACAGGGTGGCTGCGGAGGACCCTGGGCCAGGACATTGGGCGGTCCCTCGTTGGTCCCTCGAGGCCATGGGTCAGCGGGTGTTCACTGAGTTCCTCTGCATGCCCGGTGCCATGGTAGGTGTTGGGGATGTGGCCATGTGGAGCTGACCTGGAGACAGATGGCATGAGGCACTATGGAAGGGTGAACTTGGCGAGGACCCTGATACCTGAGGCCAGGTTCTAGCGAAAGCGGCATAGATGCAATGGACTGAAGAGCGGATGGGGGCACTGCGGGAGCCAGCGTTGCGGCAGAGATGACAGCAGTGCAAAGGCCCTGGGGCCACGTCCCGGGCTCAGTGACCTCAGGGTTGTAAGGCAGCTGGGGGCCTGCCCTGGTGTCCTTCCTCCCTTTCTCGTCCTCACTTTTCCATCAGGAAGATGACGCAGGGAAGGAGGAGAAGGCAGCAGCCTGGGTGGCTCCTGTCCCTGGTCCTCTGGCACCGTCATTGTTCTTGGGGTGAGGAGCCGTGTGCGACCTGGCCCCACACCCAGTGTCCCCGACCCACAGTGGGGAAACTGAGGCTGCCCTCCCAGGCCTCAGCCTCCAGAGGTGGCCCGTTCACAACCAAGTCAGGGAGGAGACGGAGGCACAGTGCTGTCCTGGGTTGTGGCCCAGTGCCTTTGACAGTGTGCATGGTTGCCATGGGCATGTGGGGCACGGCTGCCGGGTCCAGGCCCCTTCCTGGCCCCACACGTGCAAAGCTCCTGCCCATGCCGGGATGAGCTGAGTCCATAGGGATAGCCTGGCGCTTGGGGGCAGCACCCGAGGACTTTGCCCTATTGTGCCTCAGTTTCCCCATCTGCCAACCTCAGAGTCATGCAGGGGAGGAATGAGATGGTGTGTGGGTCAGGCCCGACACCCCAAGGACCAGATGCCGCAGCTGGGTCCCCAGCCTGCCCACCTCGCTGTCGGGGTGTAGGGCTCGCGGCAGGGGCAGCGGCACAGAGCCTGGCTGCCTCCTCGAGGGCTCAGGACACAGCTGGTCTGGGCTGGGCCAGTTCCCGGGACCTAGCACAGGACAGTGATGGATGGCGGGTGGCTTGGCCACTAGGGCACATTCCACCCTTTCCCACCACCACCCACAACTCCCCCACCCCCTGCCAGGCTGGGAACAGATCGGGTCTGCTGTCTGGGAAGGCGTGGGGTCCCCGGGCGCATGGGGCCTGGGAACTCTCCAGGCCGGGCGGCGCCTCGTGCACCCTGGGGACTGAGGCTCCCGAGCGAGCGAGCGCTGGCCCGGCCCAGCCCGGGAGCACATCGGGCCAGGCAGGAGGGTGGAGGGCCTGTCCCATCTGCCTGCTCAGCTCTTGCCTCAGTGTCACCCCACGAGGGCGTGGCAGCGTCTGCTCCAGGGGCTGCTTTGGGAAGGAAGTTCTTTAACCTCGGCCCCACCACCCTGAATGCACCGACCTCCTCAGCGTGCAGGATTTTTTTTTTTTTTTTTTGGACAGGGTTTTTTGCTTTGCTTTGTATTTCGGGAGTTTTTTGCAGTCCTGGAACTGAACCCAGGGTCTTCACACTGAGCTACATCCCAACACTCGTTAATTCTTACTTTGAGACAGGGTCTCCCCACGTTGCCCAAACTGGGCTTGAACTTTCGATCCTCCTGCCTCCGCCTCTGAGTGCTGAGACGACAGTGTGCACCCCCTGGCCTGGCTTGAAATACACTTTTATGCATGGGCTGGGGCTCTGGGCTTGTTGTGACCCTAAGCCTGCGCCTTGTGCCCCACTTCTGATCCAGGGTCACACGGAGCATCCGGAGCGTCCCCCCACCCCAGTGCTTTTCTGAGCCAAGAAGGGCTGTGACACTGGAGGCCCCCTAAGGTGAGCGCTTACCACCCAGGACTCCCTGCCTGGGGTCAGGTGTCCCTGCCCCTTCAGACCTTACACCACATCTGCACATGGAGCTGGGCTCAGTTCAGGAGCTGGGAGTTGGGTCCTGGCCCCTGTGGACGTGACCTGTGGGGACACAGCCCACTCCCTCAGTTTAGGTCACATGGAGAAACTACATCCTGCGTGCCTCCTCACAGCACCCCCAGGCCCCCCTCCTGCCCTGCCTGGGATCCAGGGCCTCCACGCCCCTGACCACAGCTGTTCCCCAAGGCGGTCAGGCCTCTAGGGCACTCGGGGCTGGTTGTGGTCGTAGCCAGCCCGGCCTCAGGCTGCAGCCAAAGTGCTTGAAGTTCAGCCAAGACTCACGTGGCGCTGTCCACTACGGTCCCCATGGCCACAACCCAGGATGGGGCAGCTGGGGCACTGCCACCAACACCCTATGAGCTTTCCCAGGCCAGAAGTGCCACCCGCAGCCTCAGGCCACCTCTCCATGAGCAGATCTGGGTGCCCAAAAGGGAAGAACATTGGGGACAAAAGAGGCCATGAGGCCCTAGCCAGCTGGCACTGTGTGACCTTCAGGAACGGAGCCATACCTGGCACCAGCCCCGTGGGGTCTGCAGGCAAAGTGTACGCGGAGAGCCGGGCTGCTTAAACCCACAGCGCTGTCCTCTCTGCCTGGGTTGGGGGGTGACACCGAATCCCTGCCAGTCACCGAGTACCAGCAGGGCACCATATGTCCCAGCCTCGGTGTCTGGAACACCGTGGACACGGGTGGTGTCCAGTGAGCATTCGCCGAATGATTTGGGATGGGCTGTGTCGCTGTGGGCGCCAGGTGCTTGACAGCCCGTGTGCCCATGTGGCACAGCTGGTCACCGTGTGTCCTGTGCTCTTGGCCCGGCTTCTCCACACGCGTCTGCCGTGTTGGTTCCAAGCCACCTCCGCAGAAGCGATCTGGAAACCCTGAGCAGCGGTGTCCCCAGTGTCCCAGGCCCATGACCCAGAGCCAGCCTGGCCTGGCCCCACCTGCTGCTGCCCAGGGACGCCCGGTCAGATGGGGGCTGTGAGGCTGGGCCACTTCCCTTGGGAGCACCTGCACATTTGCCTTCTTTGGTTGTCACCAGGCCCAGCCGCTGGCCCTGCAGCAGGCGCAACGTTGACAGGTCCCCACAGCTGCGGCCACACATGTGCCCAGCCATCAGCCTGGGACAGGCGGTGGGGGAGGCGCCCCGCGGAGGGAGGCCAGCGGCTGCAGCTGAGGACGGCAGGTGCCAGGCCAGGCGTGGGTAGCGGAGGAGGGCACGTCCCCACGTCTCCGAGCTGGCCTTTCCTTGCCAGTGCGGGTGCTGTACAGTGCTGGTGGGGATTGTCCTACTGGCCGCCGTCCACAGGCTGGGAGATCCAGACCCTCATGTGCTTCTGCGTCCATACAACAGTGCCTGGGCATTGGGCCAATGGGGGACACCACAGTGGCCGAGACAGCTGGCAGGCATGCAGGCCCCAATTCTAGCTCCATTCGATCTGCCCCATGGCATGGGGGTCCCTGGCCCACTGCAAGGGCAGTCTCTGGCTTGGCTTCGCCTGGCCCTGCCTGCCTGCCAGGGGCCCCTGGGACCCTATCCTGGGGCCTAGGAACTCAGGGGCTGTGCCCAGCCCTCTTTATCTTCATGCTCGCTCTCCACTCCCCGACCCTGAGGGGACTGAGCTGAGCCGCAGGACCCTGGCACAGGGCCTCAACTGACACAGTCCTGGCTGAAAATGCCCAGCTGGCACGAAGGTCCTGGGGGCCTCGGTGATCAGAGGTTCCTAAACCCCAAGTGCCACTTCCTCTTTTAGCATCAGAAAACTTGGAGACCTCACCTCGGATGCTGGGGGCTCAGAGTCTCAGGACCCTTACTGTGGAGCAGCTCGGGGGACCCTGCCTTAGGGGTGCCGAGCACCAACTGCAGACCAGAGCCAGGTGCCCTGGCTCACCTGGTCTGGCCGTGCTGGAGTCACCTGCAGGCTGTGTCTGTGAGGGGCCTGGAGCACCGTGGGGACCGGGGACCTGGCATCAGCGTGCCCCTCACCACCTCTCTCTCTCTCCCAGCCAACAGGACAGATAAGGCCGCAGCGATGCCCGACTCCCCTGCAGAGGTGAAGACACAGCCTCGGGCCACGCCGCCCAGCATGCCACCCCCACCGCCCGCCACATCCCAGGGGGCCACACGCCCACCCTCCTTCACGCCGCACACACGTGAGTAGCCCAAGGGCGTGATCGACCCTCATACCGTCTTTGTGGCCAGGAGCCCACCCTGCACTGTCCGGCTGTGTGGCTCTGGGCGTGCTCGCCCCCCCTGCCAGCCAGGGTTCTCATCGATAGTGTGGGGTGTCCAGGGTTCTGACACCTGTGGGCATCCCGAGGGCTGGCTGCACACAAGAGTGTGGGGTACGGCCGTGGACATGTCAGGGCGAACTGGTCAGAAGCTATGGGTGTGCTTCCCAGAGCCCTCAGGGTGTCACACGAGTCTGGTGCAGGCGCTGCTCGCCGGGCCACAGCTGCCAAGGGAGCCCTGTCCTTTGAGGCCCTGACTCCAGCACTGAGGTCCCGAACAGTGAGCAGGCGGCTGGCTGGCACCGGAGACTCAGGAGTGCGGCCTAGCGTCTCCAGGGTTGAGCGGGAGAGCCACACAGCCCCACCCACACTGCTCCTGCGATGCCCCCCGGGGACAGGACCTTGGTTCCCAGTCCCAGCAGCCCATGAAACCAGAGCTGCCCCTGGGGCACCCTTCCCGGCACTCAGCTGGAGCCTGGCTTTGGCCTTTTAGTCGCCGACCAGAAGCTGGGCCGCCCCAGCTTTGTGCACAGAAGGCTCTGCCCATGGGGAGGACTGGCTGGGGTGGCTGAGTGCAAGGCCAGCCTTGTCCCTGGTCAGCAGTGTTAGCATCCCAGCCTGTCTCCTGCTGGAGGTAGACAGAGGAGGAGCGGAGTGCTGCCTGCTTCCAGCCACGGCCCGCCAGGGACATCCAGGCACCGGCGCCTGGAGGAGCCTCAGGCCTAACATCCTGCATACTTCCACCTGTCTGCAGTCAGGGTCCGGCTGGACCCTGGTCCCCAGGTGGCACCAGCTGGGCCTCTTGCAGGGGGGCCCTGGGCCTCAAGGTCCAGGAGGGTGGTGGGCACGCTGGGCCTGCCCTGGGCCACGTTGCTCTAGCAGAGGCAGCTACACATACACCGACCTCCTAGACAAGGCGGCTGTGGGCCACTGACCCTCTCTCTGGACCGACCCCGGCAGTCTCACTCCAGTGGCTGGCTTTGAGCTGGTGCAGCAGGTGGAGGAGGTCTCTGACTGCAGGATGCAGTTGCTGCTGGTGCCTGAGGGCTTTGGCAGCCCCGGGCAGCGGGAAGAGGTCCAGCACCTAAACAGACACCCACCAAGCACACTGGGGCTCCAGGCGGGCCGCACTGTCCCAGCTGCCCTGCCCCAAGCACTGGCTGAGCTCCTGGGGGCTTTGGTTTTGTGAGGCCATGGATCAGATGGGAGGCAGCTTGTGTGTGGCTGGCTTGGTGCCCCGCTCCTTCCCACCCCTAGTGACCCACTTGGGTCATGTTTGTCATGTTTTCCGGTGAGAGTCTCACTCCAACTGTGCTGTGAGATGGCTCCTCCTCCCCAGGCGGCACCCTCTGTTGGCTTGGCAGGCATGTCTGCCAGAGGTCTGGCCTCCTCTGGGTGGCCTTCATGTTGTCCCCGAGCCACATGTTTCCCCAAGCGCCCAAGGTTCACCGCACCCTCACCTGGCTGGCAGCAGCCCCAGCCAGGCCTCTGCAGCCCCCTGGACATCTCTGAGCTGAGTTGGTGAGACCGACCTTGACCTTGGGCCTGAGGCCACGATTTTCCTGGCTTGTCCTCAGCCCTGGGCACAGCTAATCTTGGAGCTGAGCCACAGGTGGCTGGAAGGTGGGCAGGGAGGCTGAGGCAGTGCAGGCAGCAGGGACCCGGGCCACACTTGTCCACAGCCGGAGCCCTCTGGCCCGGTCTCCACACCACCTTCCCACAGGCTCCCTACCTGCACAGGGAACCCACCAGCCCGCCGGGCTCCTCTGGGCACGCCCCTGCCCCAGGCTCTTGCCCTGGGCATAATTTTGGGACCTAGTCTGAGCCCATCACTGATGCCCACAGCTTGGGCCCGGGGAGCCCTTGGAAGAGGGCTTGTTGAGAACCGGGGATCCCATCCGCACTGATGTGGAGGCTGAAATTCCGGTAGACCCAGAAATGACCTTAGAGATCCTGCAGCCCATCCTTTCCAGGAGAGGAAACTGAGGCCCGAGGGGCGTGGCCCGGCCCAGTGGTGCCTCCTGACAGCGTGTTCTTCTTATTTTGCTTACAGATGGCGAGGATGGACCTGCGACGTCTCTGCCCCACGGCCGTTTCCACGGCTGCTTAAAGTGGTCCATGGTCTGTCTCTGTAAGTAAAATAACAAGAACGGCGGGCCGCAGAGGCCCCGCAGTCCCGCACTCTCAGAGGGAGGGCCAGGCCCCAAGACAGGGCCTTGCACACTGGAGCCTGCTGAGGTGCTTCACTGCGGCTGCCTGGCTGGCAGGGCTGTTCCCAGGGCTGTGAGGACAGAAAGGGCACATCAGGCTCCGCCACTCCAGGGCCTGGCCCAGCCCTGACCTGGGGGCGTAGGGCCACTTGTGCCTCAGTTTCTCCCAGTGAAGCAGACGCGGCCAAAACGCTGAGGATGGACTGCGAGCCATCACTGTCAGTTCCCCCAGAACATGGGGAAGGAGGCCGATCTCAGGGGCCCCGTCCTGAGACTGAGCAAGCACCCTCCCGGGGTGCTGAGAGGAGGCTGCAGGGACCGCTGAGGCCCCCCTCCTCTGTGCGTTGCATGGGGTCCCAGACCGCACCCCGTGCAGTGGCCGTCCGCGTGGCTGTGTGGTTCTCACTGCAGGGACGCGGTCTTCCTGCTCCAGAGCTGCAACCCCGCTGCAGGGATAGAGCAGCTCGGAGGCCACTTGTGGGTTCCTCCGTCCCACTGAACCCGCCAAGGCTGCAAGCCTGGGGAGCCTGGGGTGTCGCGTAGGCCCCCACACCTCGGCTGGGACACGTGTGTGTCTAACTTAGTAACGCACCTGTCGCGGGAGCGAAGGCACTTGTGCCGGGGGCTATTTTCGGCGTCTCTTTAGCAAGCTGCTGAGGCTGCTGGCAGCCGGGAGGACAGACAGCAGCGAGCAGGCCACAGGGACCCGGGCGCCCAGGCCAGGCTGGTAAGCAGCCTCGGGAGGGCGGCGTCGGGAGGGGCCTGGCTTGCCCGTCTCCAAAGGCGCTGGGGTCCACAGGACTCAGGGAACCAGTCCACCGCGATGGTGAGGTCTCCTTGGCAAACGGAATACTCCCTGGCGGGGCTGATGGCACATGGCCATCATGAGCCCTGACCAGGCGTCTGTGAGTCAGTGGCCGCTGTGAGGTCAAAGCTCGCCTGTGAGAGGGAAAGCCAGCCACAGTAGGGTCCAGGGCTCGAGGGGCCTGGGGGACCCGGTGCCCCGAGGCAAGAGGGATGCTGAGTCTGGCGCCCTTTTGGGGCCATCCCTACTTGCGTGGCCCGTGTCCAGGGCCCAACTGTCTGTTCTAAGCCTCGGAGGAGCTCACAGGTCATCGGGCCAGGCTGGCAGGCTGGTCCAGCCCTCGCGTGCCCACGGCAGCACTGCCCAGTACTGCAGCCTGAGCAGGGCAGGCACAGTGCTCAGCTCTCCACCGGAGAGTGTCCTGAGGGCACCCAGCCTCCTGGCTGGTCATGGGGAAGCCCTGGGGTGTCCTCGGGGAGGGGGCTGGAGGCAGGCTCCAAACAGAGGGGACCAGGGCACAAGGCCCCCTGGTTTCTCCTCTGGTACATGGTGGATGGGAGCTGCAGCCAGGCCCTGTGTGACCTAGGCGGCTGTGCCCGCCCTCATACATGAGCACCTGAAGGTGACTGCCAGACCCGTGGGCAGAAGAGAGCACGTCTGCTTCCCTCAGAGTCCCTAGACTGAGGTCCTGCCTGACACCTGTTTCGGCTGGGCCCCTGGGTCAGCACGGTGTGAGGGACAGCTTGGGACTACCCCTTAGCTGTGTCTAAGGTCCCAGTGTCCCTGTTCGGCCTTCAGGTTACAAGTAGCTTCGTGGGGGGTGGGCCAGCGTGGTCCGCCTGGGTGGTCACCTATGGGGCCTCAGTGATATCTGACCACAGGTAACAGAGGAGCCTAAGTGTGAGCAGCCTGACATCCCATGGCTGGCCACATGGGCCAGGGCCCCTCCCCAGGCCTGCAGGATGGACATAGGAGTGACCAGACCCAGCAAGCAGTTGGCAGATATCACACCCCATCCCTGGTCAGGATGGAGAGGGGTGTTCTGCCTGGGACCTCTGGGGTCTAAGCACAGGCAGGAAGCAGCAGATGCCCAAGACTAGATCAGCAGAACCCTGGGCAGCTGCTCCTGGATAAGGGGACTCCATGCCCCCTCAGTACCCACAGGCCCCATCAGGCCTCGCCGCAGAGGGCAGAGGTGGCTGAGCCTCCAGGAACTCGGCCCTGGGGGAAGAGGTGGCCCTGACCGCCCACACCGCATCCCTGCATTCCCAGCTTGGACCTGGGAACTCGGAGGCAGCACAGCAGGCCGGGGCAGGAGCAGAGTAGGTAGGGCTGAGCAGGACAGGCGCGTGTGCGTGTGCATCTGTGGACATATCTGTGGTCCACGGCCCAGTCTGGCTGCAGCCCTAGGGCTGGTCACTCGGGGTCCCCAAGGCCGGCACAGTGCAGACGCACGAGCACAGTGCTGTCGGCTGCCACGGCACCCTCTGCCTCTGCGTCTGTGCTGGGGATCAGTACGTGACTGGGACGCCACACCACAGTGTCCACCAGGGCCCAGGGACACTGACCTGGTGCTGGGGCCAGCCAGTGTCTTGGGGACAGTGCTGGCCCTGCAGTGTGTACATCAGCTGTCCCTGCCTGTCCCCAGCATGCCCCAACCCAGGGCAGTCACACGCCTCCACATGTCCAACCATCTTGGCAGGACCCAGCCTGCTTGTCCTGGAGAGTCCCGTCCTGTGCCCAGCCTGTGGGTTATGGGCCGGCTCAGGGTTGGGGGACATGATTCAGGTGGGGGACGTGGCCGGGCAGAGCGATGTGGCCGGGCTGCTGCACAGAGGCAGGGGCTATGGGCCCCTCCTCATCTCCACACCCAGGAGGAGGCGACAGGGAGCCTGTGGGTAAAGAACCCCTAAGCCAGTAACGGGGGCCCTGACCTCCAGCTACACACAGGTGCTGTCACTTAGGGCCACTGCTGAGCCATGAGCCTCCCTCCCCGCACCCTGGGCACAGCCTTCCTCTGGTGCCATTTCTGGATCTGCGCGGCTGCAGGAACCTCACAGCAACGGGCTCTGCACACCAGGCAGCTCCACTCTGGACGGCCCGGGACGCCCATCGTTCGGTCACGTCGCGGTCCCTCTGTGTCACTGCCTCTGTACGTCACCACCTGCCTCCCCCTCGCCCCTGCAGTGATGAACGGCGGGAGCCACTCGCCCACGGCTGTGCACGGTGCCCCGTCCACGCCCAATGGCTTCAGCAACGGCCCGGCCACTTCATGCTCGGCTGCGCTGTCCACACAGCACCTGCCCCCGGCCTGCGGGGCCCGGCAGCTCAGCAAGCTGAAGCGTTTCCTCAGCACCCTGCAGCAGTTTGGCAGCGACATTTCGCCCGAGATCGGGGAGCGTGTGCGCATGCTGGTGTTGGGGCTGGTGGTGAGTGGGCTCCCTCCACGTGGCTGGGCGCGGTGGCAGCCCCCTCGCCCAGAAGTGGGTGGCGATAGGCTGTCGCTGACCCGCAGTCTCTTTCTCCCAGAACTCCACGCTGACGATCGAGGAGTTCCACTCCAAGCTGCAAGAGGCCACCAACTTCCCTCTGCGGCCGTTCGTCATCCCCTTCCTGAAGGTAGCCCCAGCCCCACCCCGCGTCTGACGGGTGTCATCCCTGAGGGAGCAGTCCTGACGTCAGGGCGGATTCCTGCCAGGGAAGGCAGCACACTTGCTGTCAGAGCCCACGAGTTAGCACCAAACTGGGGACTCTAGGGCAGAGTGCTGGATTCAGCACCACATCTTTGATGGCCACGGGTGCCGGTCCTTGCAGCAGCCACCCCCAAGCAGCACTGCGTGCCAGCAGTTGAGGCTTAGAGGCACAGCCACAAGTGGCAGGCATGTCCTCCTCAGAGCTCGGTCCCGGATAGGATGCACCAGTCAGCACTATAGACACCAGAATGGTGGGCAAGGAGGAAATGTTGTAGAAGCCCGCAGGGCAGGGGACATTACATGGGGCTTAGGAGGAGCAGGGAAGGGTGGTTGACAGAGCCCTCCAGGCAGCAGGGACAGCATGTGTCAAGGTCCTGTGGCAGGAGGGGCAGCAGAGTGCGGGTGGTAAGAGTCCAGGGAGGCTGTGGGTGTGGACAGGCAGTGGGCGCACAGCTAGGCTGCAGGTGGATGAGCAGCCGTCTGAAGAAGGCGCCACCTGGCTCCTTCCAGGGGTCCCCAGGTCAGGCTGGAGCAGATACCCAGGCTGCCGCTGTGAAATGGGGACCTTCGCCTCTGGGAAGCCTGTACAGGGGCGCAGCACTTGTGAGGCACAGTGACACTGTGGGGTTCAGCGTGTCCCCTGGATGAGGGGCCAAGGGCACAGGGGTCCTGCTCTCTCCACTCTGGTCTTCTCTCCCCGTGGCTCCCTGTGGCTCCAGCTCTGTCTAGCCCCATGGTGGTGGCAGGCACCCCAGGGTAGCTGTGGTCACAGGTGGGCAGGACACCAGCATCACCAGCACCCAGCGAGCACCAGGGCCGCACCAGCCCAGCGGCTCCTGACCTCCTGGGCTGTTTCTCTCTGCCCCCCACAGCTCTTGAAGGTCTCGCCCTCACCCCTGCCCCAAAGGTTCATCCCCCAGGACCCCAGAGAGGCACCCTGCCCTGCAGTGCATGTCCTGTCCTCACCAGGGTGCAGGGTTGCCCTGTCACCCAGGTCACCTCACACCGGGGCATCACGACTCTCTGCCTGTAGACAAGGCTGAGTCTGGCCGTGGGACCTGCCCTGGGACACGCAGCCCACGGGAGCCCAGCAGGCGCCCAGCAGTGCCCAGAGCTGCTGCAAGTGTTGCAGAATGGTCCTCATGCTGCTTTGCAGATGCGCCTCCATGCAGAGGTGGAGTGGGACCCAAGGTCCTGTGACCAGTGCCCGGTGCTCCTGGGAACAGGGAGGGGACCTAGACCCTGTTTTGGGTAGGCAGGACCATTCCCATCAAGGGCAGTTGTGTGTCTGGACTATGCCATGGATGCTGCCTGTCCCTGGTCCCCACCTCCCTGCCTGATCTGATCGCTGTACTGGCCGGAAGCCGGCTTTCCAGAAGCTGGAACAAGCTGCCTGCTGCAGCCCTGGCTCCCAGTTGGCCCAGGGACCAGGAATCCAGATGTTTCCACGGCTGCACAGTGCCTAGCCAGTACTGGGCCTGTCCCCACCCTGCCGCGCTGGCCAGAGCGGGGATTCGGGCTCCTGGGGCCTCCTGGGACCTGGTTCCCAGCTCCAGCTCCTGACGCATCAGGCAGATGGCGGCTGGCCCTCGTTCAGCTACCAGATAGGAAAACAGGCCTGGCAGCTGGCGCCGCCTGATGGGAACATTGCAGGCCGGGTAGACGCGTATGAGGGCTGGGAGGCAGAGGCGGGAAGCCACCAGCAGCTTTGAAGTGCATGAGAAAGAAGGGAGCTGCATTTGTTTACAAACGCTTGGAACTGCTGGCCCTCCCAGGCGGCCTCCACTGGGCCCTGCGCCAGCAGCTTGGGCCCAGCCTGCCCCATCCGCTACGCGTGGCTCTGGGACGCCCAGCGGTGAACAGTGAGGCTGAGCCAGAAGTGGTGGCCGGGACACACTGTGTGAGGCCCAGTGCTCTTACTCACAAAGCCTGGTGGCCTGCAGAGCCTCGGTGCATGCTGACATCCAGCCCCAGCTCCAGGCTTCCCTCGGGTGGGCCTGGACACAGGAGGCCAGCACAGGGATGGGGTGGGGGGCTGGCATCCCTCAGCACCCCCCAGGGGCCAGAGCAGAATTTGCCCGCCTCCTGCTTCTGCTCCCTGCGCCCCTGTTTTGGTTCACTCTGTGCCTGGGACTGGTTGCTTCTGCTCCCTGCAAGCCTCAAGTTCCTCCTCTGTCCAGAGGCACTGTGATGCCTCCCCAGAGAGCATGGTGACAGGATCAGGTAGGCCCTGATCCTAGGACCAGAGTCGCTGTCCTGTTGGCCTCCCATGCACCTTGTGGAAGCAGCAAGGTTTCTGAGGAAATGACTGGGGACCGAGGCCTAGAGCCCAGTGGCTGCCAGCCCAGGCTCCACACACTCGGCTTAGTTGTGCGGGCCCCACTGTCGCCCCACACAGGCCAACCTGCCCCTGCTGCAGCGTGAGCTACTGCACTGTGCCCACCTGGCCAAGCAGACACCCGCCCAGTACCTGGCACAACACGAGGAGACGCTGCTGGACACCAGCACAACCTCCCCTGGGGACTCCTCCGAGCTCCTGCTGGAGGTGAACGAGAACGGCAAGAGGCGGACGCCCGACAGGTACTGCCCCCCACCTGGCCAGAGCAGCCCCATGGAGGGGCTGAGTGACCACCACAGGCACCTCTGCATCCCGCGGCACCTGTGCTGCCCAGCTGGTGACCAGGCCACAGTTCAGGCTGATGGTCTGAAGATCCTGACACCCCAGGAGCCCCTGGGCCTGTCCACAGAGGCCAGGCCTCCAGTGGCCAGGCTACGCCCCTCTACCTGCCACAGAGGAGCTGTGCCCTCCTTGCCTGTGCTGCCCTAGGCAGTGGCACCTACACCAGGGGCCTAGGTATCCCCTCTTCCCAGCCCCTCAACACAGTGCCCTCCGCCCTGCATGACTGGAGTCTCAGTGCACTGCCTCCCTCCCACCTCCCGGGCCTCTGTCCATGGCTGGTGGCTCTGACTGTTGTCCCACCTGGTTTCCGGGCCAGGACCAAAGAGAATGAGTCGGACAGTGACCCGTCACACCCTGAGCACCTCAGCAAACGGCCGTGCACCCTGAGCCCCGCCCAGCGCTACAGCCCCAGCAATGGGCTGCCACACCCCATGCCACCCCCACACTACCGCCTGGAGGACATGGCCATGGCCCACCACTTCCGAGACCCCTACCGCCCCCCTGACCCCCGAGAGCTGCGGGAGCGCCACCGGCAGCTCGGTGAGTAGTGCGCAGAGATGGGATGCCATGCCAGCCCCGGGCTGCCTGCGGGGGCCTAGGTGCCTGTTTAGGTCACACAGCCTCTATGTGCCTCAGTTTCCACCAAGGTTACTCAAGGAACAGAGGTCGTGTGAGGACCGGGGTGTGTTGACATGGAGCTTGCCCTGGTCACAGTGACAACTGCTGGCGAGGAGACCAGGCCGTTTCAGGCTGGCTCCTCCACGCCACCCTGCCTGGCTGACCCCTCTGTGCTGGAGATCAGGAGGTGGCCAGCCAGCCCCAACCCAGGAGGCTGAGGGCCCATGGAAACTGCCAACCCATGGGTGCCCTCGCACCCCAGGGTCTGGGGCAGGTCATCTCCCACCCCCATCCTGCCAGAATGCCCCAGCTGAGGCCCAGGCAGCAGGTGACAGTGGCTGGCTGGCTGCAGCTGGGTCAGGCAGGTGCTAATTCCCACCCATTTTTGCTCACACAAAAATAAACACCAGCTGTCGGGAGATCTCAGCCACTATTTTGGGGCCCAGCTGGGGCCCAGCTTTGCAGGCGGCCAGGCAGGCAGTGACATCGGCTGTGGTCCTGCTGCATTTTGTGTTCCGGGCCTACAGACTCTCTGGCCAGTGGCCCAGAGAGAGACCCAGACTCCCAAAAGCCAGCTCCACAAGTCAGGGCACCCAGGGAGAGGGTACATGTGGGGCACCTGCCATTGTCCTGTCCCCACCGTCCCCTACCAGGCCATGCCCTTCCTCCTCCATTTGGCCACCTGCAACTCAGTACAGACACAGCCCCAGTGGTCCCAGTGTGCCCATCCCAGACTAGGACGATGATGAGGGCCCAGGCTGGAGGCAGAGGCAGCTCAGAGTGCACAGACCTCTCCCCAGCGCACTCTCCTCTGTGGGCCCTGGTGTTGCTCTGCCCTGGGGAGCCAGCCGGGGTGGGGAAACTGAGGCACAGAAGCAGAGGCAAGCCCCATGGGGAGTGAGCATCTTCGCACTGACTCTGGCCAGTGCCTGCCCTTGGAGCTGATGGCTCACCACGGCCAGCAGGCAGAACCCATGGCCATGCTTGGGTGGGACAGGGGGGCAGGGGGACCTGGAACAGGACCAGGGCAGCTGCCTGTGGCCAGGGGCTCAGGACATGACTGCTGGCACTGGGCCCTGGGGTGCAGAGAGTGCAGGCGGTTGAGGGGAGCCTCTGAGAGAGGAGACAGGTGGCCCGCGGGACTGAGGTTGCTGAGAGCCGTGAGGTGTGTGGTGAGGTCTTGGGGACCGGGGCAGGGTGGCCACGCTAGCACTGGAAGGGGACAGGTTTGTGTTTTCCTCTGGAGTGTTGAGCTGGGTCCTAAGCTCTGGGGCAGCAGGCAGAGGGCCAGTGCTCCGAGGCCCCCACGCCATGCTGATGCAGACACAGCCCAGGGAAGGGCCTCTGGGGAGAGGGGTCCGGGGAGCAGGGGCGGAGGCTGGACGGGGCTAAGCCTGCACCACCCTTTGCAGCAGTACCTGGGTCCCGGCAGGAAGAAGTGATCGACCACAGGCTCACGGAGCGCGAGTGGGCGGAGGAGTGGAAACACCTCAACAACGTGAGTGTCTGCCTCCCAGGTCCAAGGTGGGCCCCGTGCAGGCCTCTCAGGTTCAGGACCCCATCTGGGCCTCCCTGGGTCCCCTGCATGAGCCCTCTCTGTCCCCAGGCCTGTCGGGGAGCCATGGGGGGCAGGAAGGACAGGGCCATCAGGCAGGCCAGCTGTCTCCCCTCCTGCTCAGTGGCTCTTTCAGGGTGGAGACCCTTGGGGAAGAATTTCTGGGGCTCTGTGTGGCCCCGGCTTTAGGCAGCATGGGCAGTGGCGCCCCTCAGGGCCCCCACTCCACCATCCACAGGGCCACTGACACCACCCTCACCCACTGCCCCGAGCCGTGACGGCCAGCGCCTGCAGCTCCACCACCAGGCTCTGCGCCCTGAGCTGGCCTGGTCCCTGCCGTGCCCCTGACGGCCGCAATGCTGCCCGCACGCAGCTCCTGAACTGCATCATGGACATGGTGGAGAAGACCCGCCGCTCACTGACCGTGCTGCGCCGGTGCCAGGAGGCCGACCGTGAGGAGCTCAACCACTGGATCCGGCGCTACAGCGACAGCGAGGATGGCAAGAAGGGCTCCGCTCCTGCCCGGCCCCTCAGCAGCTCCGGCCCCGAGGGGTCTCAACTAGGTGGGCAGTGGGGAGGCCGCGCAGGGGCCACGGGGGCGCCTGCTAGCCGAGGTGCTGGGGGGGGGGCCTGATTCCCGTAGAGCTGTCACACGGGAACGCAACCGGAATTCAGCCGAAGGAAGATCCTTCCCCTCGCCCCTGACCCAGGTCTGTGGTCCTCTGGCTCGAGGTTAATGCGTAGCCCATGGTGTGCCTGCAGACATGGACCACCCAGCCTCAGGCCCTGGGCTGCCGAGCCACCGTTAGTGCCCTGGCTGGGTGCAGGTTTCTGCCATGGTCCCTAGGGACTGCCACGGAAAACTGAGGGCCCAGCAAGGGTCAGAGAGCCCCAGGGTGAGCAGACAGCCTAACCCTAACCCTTCCGTTTCAGACCCACACCGGGAGCTCATGCCCAGAGCGCTGTCCGGCTACATGCCTGAGGAGATCTGGAGGAAGGCTGGTGCGTGGGGCAGCAGGGACACAGGAACAGCTGAGCCCTAGGCATCTCAGACACGGAGGATTCCTCCCAGGGGTGCCCAGGGCCGCATCATGCATGGTGGAGCTTGCACGGGAGGCTGCATGGTCATGCACAGGCTCTCAGGCCAGGCAGACAGCCAGAGCGGGAGCTCCTCAGCCGTGGGGAGGGCTTGTAACCCTTTGCTGGCACAGTGGAGGACACACTCAGTCCAGAGGGAACTGGGCATCACAGGCAGACGAGGTGGCTGCTTGGGCAGAGGGGACTGAATGTGTTTCAGTTTTGAGGGATTCGTTGAGAGGCGTGAGGGGGAGGGGAGTTGCAGTAGAAAGCAGAGAGAAGGGGATCCCAACCTGGAATTGGGGGCAGTGGCCAGGGGCCAGGTACGGGTCCAGCCTGGACAAGGGACAGCTGTCCCCATGCTGCACTCTCCTCATCAACTCACCTTGAGACCTCAACTAATGTCCACCTGGGGCCTCGCCCAACAGGGACCTACTGGCCGCAGATCAGGGGCTCCAGACCCTGCTAGGGGTTCAGCACCCCAAGGATGCAGATGCTCAGAGGGGAGACCCAGGGATGTCTTAGCACCCCAAATAAGAGTCCCATGTGTCTCACTCTATCTCACCAGAGCCAGTTCTCAAAGACAGTGCTACCAGGTAAACTGAGGCAGGCATCATTGACCTTGGTGTAGTTTAGCAAGAACTCGAGGAGGGCTACAGCAGATCAAAATGGATCCACTTGGGTCCGGGCCTCGCCCTGTGGCTCCCAGCAGACCTGAGAAGTGGTCATGGGGTCCTCAAGAGCCTTAGACTGCCAACTCAGTGGACATAGAACCCGGCTCCCCTGGACCCCACGAGCAGCATGGTGGCAGCATGCGCTCTGGGGAGGTGGACAGTGCATGGGCGCGTTGGCTCCCACTGGGCCGCAGAAAGGAGCAGGGCCCTTGCAGGGGCAGCCTCCCCACCCTGTGGAATCTGCTCCACGAGGTCAAACCCCCAGGAACCCATGCTCACCAGGGCTGGGGAATCATGGCAGGGAGAGCCGGGCACCTGCAGAAGGTTCCACAGGCTCGAGCGCACTTGCACACACGCGCTCAGGATACGATTGCCTGGACACCGGGATCTGCACAGGCTGAGCTCTCAGTGTGCCCAAGCGCACATGTGGAGAGGGCCGGGCATGTGTGCTGCAGCTGGGGGCCCCGCCCGGTGTCAGGAGCCCAGGAGACATAAGGCCCAGCCCTGTGACCACAGCCCCACCACGCTTTGCAGAGGAAGCTGTGAACGAGGTAAAGCGTCAGGCGATGTCAGAGCTGCAGAAAGCCGTGTCGGATGCAGAGCGTAAAGCCCACGAGCTCATCACCACGGAGCGCGCCAAGATGGAGCGGGCCCTGGCTGAGGCCAAGCGCCAGGCCTCTGAGGACGCCCTGACCGTCATCAACCAGCAGGAGGACTCCAGCGAGGTAAGGGCAGCCATGCCCATGCCCACTCTGCCCTGGCACCTGGCAGCCGCCACATGAGCAGCGCAAGGGTGGCCCAGGGTGCCAGTGCGGGATGCTGGTGCAGGGGCAGAGATCCCGGGGCGGGGCCAGGCTCTCCCAGCATATGGCGCAGCCCTCAGCACGCTCCTCTGCACAGTTCTGCCAGCCACATCTGGCTATGGAGGAGCAGGCTGGTCAGGGACAGGCGTCTGGGTGGGCAGAGGAAGGACTGGCACAGCAGGTGTGGCGGCACACACCTGTCATCCCGGCTATTTAGCCACAGAGGTAGGAGGATCTAAAGTTCAAGGCCAGCCCAGCAACCAGGCAAGACCTTGTGTCAAAACAAAACATAAAAACAGGGCTGAGGATACAGCTAAAGGGTAGCAGCAGGCTCCAGGCCTTGGAATCCATCCACAGTACAGGAAAACATAAAGAGGAAGATAACTTGACACAGGCCCAGCACTGAGTGTTTCAGGAGTGGAGACGGGCTCAGGGAGCTGCTCACGGCCAGTGACAGCAGCGGGGACAGGGAGCCAGCCCCCCTGCCTCCCAGCCACCCTGGGGGTTGGGAGGCAGAGCCAGGCCGGCTGAGCCACGTGGGACGTGGGCCACGTGGCTGCGACCCCTGGGCAGGGCCTGCTCTGGTCTGCACTCGGGCCGGAGGAGCAGCTCCTCACGGGGAAGCCGCAGTCCCGCTCTACCCAGGCCTCCCAGACACCAGTCACAAGCAGCAGCGTCTGCCGGGACCAGGGCCATGCCGTGGGAGGTTTGGGGGCAGGCCTCCCTCCTCGCAGTGCCCTGACCTCCCCGCGCCCCACAGAGCTGCTGGAACTGCGGGCGGAAGGCCAGTGAGACCTGCAGCGGCTGCAATGCGGCGCGCTACTGCGGCTCCTTCTGCCAGCACAAGGACTGGGAGAAGCACCACCACGTGTGTGGCCAGAGCCTGCAGGGCCCCACCGCTGCCGTGGCTGACCCGCTGCCCCGGCAGCCGGACGTCACCGCCAGCCCCAGTGAAGCTGGCTCCGCAGGGCCCTCTCGCCCAGGCTCCCCCGGGCCACCTGGCCCTCTGGATGCCGCTGTGCCCCGCTGACCCTTCCAGGCCCTGATGCCCGGCCCATGGATGCCACGCCCCGCCAACCCTGGCCCAGTCTGGCTGCCGGACGCCTGGCCAGCCGGCGGGAAACACTGCTGCTACTGCTTCTGTCCAAAAGCATCACAGAACCAACCAGAGCTGCACGGCAGCCTCCTCAGCTACCTGACACGACCGTCCACCACGACCTCTGCCTGGCACCCTCCTGAGCCGGTGGCCAAGCTCCAGCAGCCATGGCGCCAGTGGAGCGTGCCAGCTCGCCCACCGTCTGTCCCCCGTCCCGTGTCTGTCTTGTCTGTCTCCCACTGTCTCTCATCTTCGTTCTGTCTTTATGACTTCCACACGCTTTCCCTATGAGGAAGAAAGCCTAACTGGTGACTCGTTTTCAGTGAAGAATTTGGAGGATTTTGCTTTGTTGACAAAAGAGCTTCTCAGAAAAGGACAAGGATGCCCGTGGGGTTCTCCCGCTTCCTGAGTGAAAGGGGAAGAACTGATTCTGTATCCAGAGACCTGAGCTCACTGTGCCACCCGGGCCACCCCAGGGGCACCCGGCAGACGCAGCCACACAGTGAGGAAGATTTCAGTTTCCAACTCAAGAAGCATTTTGGTTTCAGGTTATTGTGGTGGGGTTTGTTTGGTTGGTTGGTCCTTTTTTTTTTTTTAATGTCAGACTTTTTGGCTTTAAGTAAAAATCCAAAAAGGTTTTTTTAAAAAGCAAAGGAGACATACCTGTAAACTACCTTGCTAGCTAGCCAGCCAAGGATACCGGACACACCTCTGCTCCAAAGGAAACCCAGAAAGCAAACACAAGAAGTCAAAATCCAAAACGCTTTTCCACTGCCAAAGTATTCCTTTCACTGTTTCAGTCCGGCCTGGGTTCATTTGGATGCTGGTCTTTTGTTTGGTTTTGATTGGGTGCTGGGATTCTGGGGTCCAGAGGGTCCGGTCCCAGAAGCGACCTCCCGTGTCCCTGCAGCTCTGCAGCCCCTCACCAGGCAGAGCCGGCAGCGCGGCGTCCCTGGGCCCGCACCAGTGTGCGTCCTGCCCGGTCAGGGAGACCTGTCTGTCCTCGAGCCTGCAACTGTCCATATTTCATTTCTCTACTTGTGAAAAGAAAAAAAAAAGTGCTAACGTGTTCTTCCCGGAGAGAGCACAACTCTGAAACAAAACTGTGACAATCTTTCGGGTTGATTCCTGCTGTTTTCAGAGCGGAAGGCGGCGGCCGCTCCCGGAACCCTGCCTCCATCCTCCACTGCTACCTCTCTCGGCTCCCACCGGACACCTTCAAACTTTGCAGGAAAAAGCAAACTCACAGATTAAAGCAGCCGCCCTCCCTCCCCTCAAAGACTCATGCTCAGCTGTACATAACCCTGTGTCCATTGTCCGTCCAGCCAGCCAGCTATTCTTCAGCCCTGGGGACAGGACACTCCCCCAACCTGTTCTCCCACCCTACCCCCACCCACGTGACGCCCTCGGCATCTTGAGATGGAGATGCGGGGGAGACTCAGCACCCAAGACAGACCGGGCCTGCTCTCCGCATGCAGCAGCAGCGGAGGCGTGAAGGACTTGAGTGCAATAGGGGTCCGTGGGGCCCGTGCCCACGCGAGGCCTGCGCGTGAATGTGAATGTACATAGCTCTACAGAGGTCCAAATAATGGTGTCCACAAGGATGGTAAAAGGTATTTGCCAAATAAAGAGAAATCACACACACGTGTGATGAAGCGGGTTTTCGGTGAAATCTGCAGCTCCTCAGGCGGGGGTGGCTCTGTGGGCGAGGCTTCCCCAAGTTGCAGAATCCATCCTTGGAGCGAGAGCCAGCACTCACCAAGTGCCACCAGCCCTGGGATAGCAGCACCCGTGCCCCAAAGGTCAGGAGAGCGCTGTCCGGCCCTCCAGGAGGTCCCCAGGGCCACAGCCCTGAGCTCTGCTCCTGTGGGTCTCAGGAAGTGTCGGCCGCCAGGGAATTGGCTCTGGTCACACATGGCAGCCTGTGCTGGTTTCCGTTTGCTGGTTTTCTCTATGCACCCATGGAGGAGACTGTGCTGTGGGTGCCTCGTGAGACCTCCACTGCCTTGCTGCACAAAGCCCCCAGACCCCTCCTGGTTACAATTAGCAAAGGGCCCTGAACCCCTGGAGTGGTAGGCACTGCGCCTGCACAGGGCACCCACGGCCCTCAGGTTGTGTGTCCTGGCAAGGCCAAGCTGCAAGCTGTGGCCTCTGGAGCACCACGGCCTGAGTGACATGGCAAGGAGCCCTGGGCTGCTGCCCTGACAGCTGGGTCCCTAGCCGCAGGCTGGGGTGCTCGCTCCTGGGTGGACCACCAATCTGTGCTTCTTCAGGAAACACCTCCTCTGCCCCCTCTTGTGTGCCTCTTTGGGGACAGGCAGGCCACCCAGGGACACAGGAAGATGGGCTGCCTTTTCGTGCCCAAGCAGGACCCGGACTGCAGACCTAAGAGCCCAGCAGGCAGGAGGACGGGGCAGGGCAGGTGCCGTGGGGAAACCGAGGCCCAGAGGCAGCAAGAGGATGTTCCTAGCGTGTGGTGTGAAAAGGCTCTGGGAAGTGTCAGCTGCCACCTGTAGGTAGGAAGTGCTGTCCCTGTGTTTTCAGAGCTGACACTGCTGCTGGTTCTGTGTTCAAGTTCCATCCAACCAAAGATCTCACAGCAGAGCCAAACTGACCCTGAGGCTGGAGGGCATCATCATGGGGACAGCACATGCCCTGAGCTAAAACAGGAAGGCTGGGGAACCCCAGAAGAGACAGATGGACAGGATGGATGGGGCACACACTGGGCCAGCTCCTCCTGTGTGTATCCCAGGCCTTCCATCCCTGGACTGAGGACCTGATGGCCTCCTGTGAGCCACACCCAGGAAGGCTCACCCAGGGCAGTCCTCTGACTGGGATGGAGGCAGAGACCTGTGGCTCGAGGCCACGCTGGCCATAGGTGTCGGAGTGGGACAAGTAGACGGACGCCCACCACCTCCCAGGAAGGCCCAGGACACACAGGGCAGAGCCCCAGGAGGCCGGCATTAGACATGAAGGGCACACCTCAAGGATGTGGTGGGCAGGGGTCAGCATGGGCCCCCAGTGTGTCCTGTTTGCGGGTTCTTCCACATAGCTCCTCTGGCTAACACCAAAGTCTATCTTTGGCATCCATCTGACCACCCCTCCCCAGCCCAGCTAATTATCAGTCAACTCATCAGTTCACCTTGTCTGTCCATCCCCCATCCGCCCGTCCATCCACTCACCTCCATGCACCTACCCACTCATCCACCCACCCCACCTCTGACCACTCAACTGTGCCTTCCCCCCACCCGCCATGCCACACCCTCCTGCACACTCCCATCATGTCACTCTGTCCTCCAGCCCCCCCAACCATCCTCACTCTTGTGGCCAGTGTCCCCAGGGTACCAGGGCCACAAGGACAGCCCAGCTAATTATCAGTCTTCACCTTTGTGTGGTTAGGCCAAGCAGCGTGCCCTCGGGGAACCTGCCTTCGAGGTAGCACCCACCACCATGGGCCTAAAAGGGTCCAGGCCAGCTTTAGACACCTCAGAGATAGAGATTCTACTGGGGTAAGGGTTCAGGGCCAGGAGGGGGTGGGCAGCCCACAAGCCACTTGGCTCACCACAGCCACAAGGTACGCACCACCCCTGCCTCATTGCCTAGGGTCAGCACCTGGAGGCAGGATCCCAAGAGGGATGTCCAGGAGGTCCCCATGCACCCTGGGACAGCTCCCTTGGGCACTAGGGGTGACCCCACATGTCTGTCCCAGCTGAACTCCCTGGCAGTGACCTCCAGTCCCCCGGCCCAGCCATAGCCTCCCCTGCCCACTGCCCACCCCCGCACCGTAGCCCCCCACTGAGCCAGGAGTGCGCTGGGGGAGCCTCCAGGATTGATCGAGAGGGGGAACCAAGGCTGGCTGGACTCGGGACCACCTGCTCCAGCAACCTCACAGGCAGCCCTGTCTCACTCGGTCTTCTCTCTGCTGCCATCCAGCTGGGCCCCACGCCCCAGTGCCAGCAGAAGGAATTGATATCCACAGCCCCGCCCCCCGCAGGGGGCTGGATGGAGGCACAGTCCTCCTCCGTCTGCTCCACTCCCCAGGAGGAGCAGGACCGGGAGTGGTGAGAAGTGTGCCCGTGGTCCTCTGCCCCGTCCCGTGTGGCCTGACTGCCCCGTCCACAATGCAGGCGTGGGCCTCTGAGACACTGTCCCTTCTGGGCTGTTTTGCTGTTTCCCAAGCACTGCAGGCCTCTCCCAGGGAGGGGTGCAGCCTCCCCTTGGACAGTCCAGGGTGGACTGAGTGGTGGGCAGCACGGGGGGAGGTAGGGATGTGGGATGAATACAGGTGAGGAGATTCTCCAGCAGGAAGAGCCTTGCAAGGCCATAGTACCAAGGAGTCCAGGCTACCTCAGACCCCAGACAGAATCTAATGCTTCCAGGTCCTAACCCCTCCCCAGAAGCAGCACCACTGGGATCATGTCCCATGTCCCACACAATGTCCCATCCGAAGGACATGGGATCCACGGGGAACTCAGAAGGCCACTGTGTGGCTCCTCCCCCCGGCCAGGCCCAGGGGAAGTACTGCACTTATGCTGTCCTGCCTGAAGACACAGTCCTCCCTGCAGGCCTTGAACTCCCACAGAAGCTGGTGAAGGGCAGCTGGTGTTGCTGGGCCACGGCCATGGTACCCAGCCTCTGCCAGGTGGAAGAAGGGTCCAGGCACTATGAAGGCCCAGATCTGGGCTCAGGGCAACCTGCCTGATTGCCCATCCTCGTTCTGCCCACCTTGACACCCGTCCATCCACAGCCCAGATGGGAACCCAGGCCAGTGTGGGCCTCAGCAGTGGCAGAGGGAGCTTCCTGAACCCTGGCCCTGCGACCGCCCAGCAGAGCATCTGGCAGTTAGGCCTGAGGTGGATGAGGCCATGACCAGAGGGCCGAGTGCAGAAGCCAGGGAAGCCCTCCAGGGGGCAATGTGGGGCCAGGTGGTTATCCCTAGAGAGCCCCTGCCCAGTCCAGCAGTGTCCTGGGCCTCACACAGAGCAGAGGATCAGCACAGCAGAAGCGGCTCCACCTAAGACACACCTGTGCAGGGGTGCAGGGGTCCATGGAGACCCAGCGCAGAGGCTGCTGCCACCCCTGACCAGGCCCTGCCCCGACCAGCCCACCCCTTGCCGTCTCTGGCTCGGCCGCATCTGGCCTCCCCACTGGCTCACGCCCCATTGCTGATGGGGGCTTTCTGGGGATACAGTTGTGAGTCGGGGAGAGGAGCAGGCATGGAGAGCTCATGGCAGCTGGCCTTGCCGAGGATTCATCATCCTCCCCTCCCCGGGGAAGGAAGGGCGGGCGGGGCTGCCCAGCTGGGAACCCTTGGTGCTGCAGTGGGAGCAGGTGGCCCAGGCTGCGCACGAGCAGCTTAAAACCTGGCTCGGCAGGTGCACAGAGTGAGCAGCCGCTCTCACTGCCCTGCAACCCATGTGGCCCTTCCTGAGCCCCACACTCTTCCCACCCCCCACCGAGGCCTGGCTCCGGACGGTCTCCTCAGACCCCGAGGCCCAGGGCTGGGGAGCCTGGGCTGGGACGGAGAAGACCGCTCTGGAGCCAGGAAGTGGGGGCAGGAGGCAGGCCGAGGAAGACAGTGATGATGGAGACTCCGACTTCCTGCTGACCCTGCTGGAGTCTGACCACCTGGCCAAGGTTCCTGAACCTGACCAGGTAGCAGCCAGGAGGTGGCAGGCAGGGACCTAGGCACAGGCTGGGGACAAAGGGACAAGGAACTGACCGGAAGGCAGAGGGGTGCCTGCCTGGGGATGGTGGAGATCACAGGGCTTCGCTGAGGCCTGAGCACTGGCAGAGGGTCCTCTGAGTCTGCAGCCCCTGGCAGGGCTTTCCCCTTCTGTGTCCCCAGCTCACCCCGCCTTGCCAGCAGGAGCTGGAGGCCATCAGGCTGAAGCTATGGACCATGGAGCAGGCTCAGAGGGCGCCAGAGCTGCCCAGCACACAAGCTGAGGCCAAGGAGGAAGAGGGAGCTGCAGCCAGGCAGCTGCTGAGCCCCAAAACTGTGGGTAGGAACCAAGGGGCCCCTGGTGCCCCACCCTTGTCCGTGGACACAGCCCAAGGCACTGAGCCTGCTTCAGACCTGGGCAGGCTGGAGGTGGCCTACCCACAGGGGCCGCTAGGGAGCAGTGCAGATGAGGCAGCCAGCGCATGTCTGGGGCCTTCTCCCCGCAGGCTGCCCCTTCCCTGGGGTCCTCAGGCAGACGGTGGAGGCCGACCACAGGTCCATCTACGTAGGCAACGTGAGTGGCAGGACGGCACAACTGGTCCCTCTCCATGGATGGGGTGACCATCCTGTTGTCCTGTACTGAGGTCTGGGCCGGGGGAGGGTGGGCAGCTGGGCTGTCCCCCAAGGACCCATGGCCTGTTGTCCGATGTCCTGGCTTCTCTGTGAGAGTCACGTTACAGACCACACACTCTGTAAGCCAGCCAAAAAGTGGCCGAGGTGCAGCCCGTGGTGTCTGCGTAGACAGCACACGAACTCGGGCGTGAGGCCGCCCTCCTTGGGGGGCAGTCCCGGTGCTGGGGTCCTTCCCTCTCTGCACAAAGAACACATGGGCCGTGCCGTGCCTGGGCAGGTGGACTACGGCGGCACGGCTGAAGAGCTAGAGGCCCACTTCCACCGCTGCGGGGAGGTACACCGCGTCACCATCCTGTGCGACAAGTTCTCCGGCCACCCCAAGGGGTCAGTGCAGGGCTGGGGGGTGCCAGCATGGACCCGCCGTCCCCTGACCCTGCCCTCACCCCCAGGTATGCCTATGTGGAGTTTGCCACCCAGCGCTCGGCCCAGGCTGCTGTGGAGCTGGATGAGAGCATCTTTCGGGGCCGGGCCCTCAAGGTGGGTGTCCCCAGGTGGTGCTTTACTCCCCAGCCGACCCCCAAGGGGCGCTGGGGGTGCCTGAGGCTGTGTGGGAGAGGCGGGGGCTGCAGACCGGCAGCAAGGGGCCGCAGCTAGAAAGGTCTGGACCTCACACCTACGGTTCCAGGTGCTCCCCAAGAGGACCAACTTCCCAGGGATCAGCTCCACCGACCGCGGGGGCCTCCGGGGACACCTGGGCACCAGGGTGCCACCAGTCCTCTGCAGCAGTCTCCAGGGCAGGCCCCGGTCCCGACCACGTGGGCAGGGCAGGTAGGCGGGCTGGGGCACAGGTCTGACTGGCAGGCCAGCCCAGCTTGTGCCCTTGGGGACTCCCGAGACAGCCAGGGGTGTCGAGGTAGTTAACCTGCACCCTCACCTGCCTGGCGCTGCCTCTCACAGGGGACGCGGGAGATTCTCCATGTGGTTCTTGCCATACTGAGGGGATGTACTGAGGGGATGCCTGACGGCGTGGGCACAGGGCTGGGCCAGGAATCGGCAGCAGTGTCCCCTGGGGACCACTTGTTCCAGACAGCCTGGGGCCCTGGACAGCTGGGCGACCGAGGCATGGTGGGAGGCCAGCCGTAGGACGAGCTCCCTGGCTCTCCAGGGCACTCATTTTAAAGAAAAACAGAAGCGCGTGTCTTAACAGTAAAGAATAAATTAATAAATTTGAATCTTTTGTGGCTCATGCCTGTAATCCTAGCACTCGGGAGGCTGAGGCAGGAGGATCATTGTGAAATCGAGACCAGCCTGGGCTACAAAGTGAGCTCAAGGCCAGCCCAAACTGCACAGTGAGACCCTGTCTCAAATTTTTTTGAATCTTTTAAAAAGCCCGTGACAGACCTTGCACTCCCTGTCACCTGATATGGACCCAAGTTCACTGTGTACCCTCTCAGGTGGACCCCACAGCAGGGAGAAGGACATGACTGCAGGGACAGGAAGGTCCCTCCCATGACTGTACCTCCACACCGGGCCTCAGGACACCCCTGGTGTGGCGCTCACCCCTGGACAGACCTGGCACAGACCAGCCTGGTCGGCCGCTCAGGAAGTGGAAATGGCTGCTCTGGACACTCTGCGTCTTATGAGGCAGAAACTCTGGGGCTCCCTGAAGATGGGGCCACGGTGCACCCCGACAGGCAGGAAGGAGCCTCATCAGGCCCCAAGTTGATGTCACCGAACACATGCTTCTGCCTCACCTTTGCCTCAAAACAAAGTCTGCAGCTCCAAGTACCCCGCACTGTCTAGGGGGCCCAAGGTCCAATGGTGGGGAGACCTGAGACACTCCTAGGGGACGGAGGCAGACTCTAGAGTGACACCAAGGGGGACGGGTGCATGGGCCTTCCAGAGCTGCAGAGGGGGTGGCTCTGCCCAGTCAACCCTGGCTCCCGGCCTCCAAGCCGACCACAAATTTCAGTGCTAGGCCACATCTCAGTGGCTGGGCCCACATGAGCAGGTGGGCACTGAGGGGCTGTGGCTGAGACCTTGCCAAGGACGGGGCTGCTACAGAGTTGGGCACTGAGCAGAAGTTGGCATGGAGCTGCTGCCAGCCACCCAGCACTTTGTGCCACTTCCTGTGCTACAGTATCACCCCACCAGCAGGCCTGCCCCTTGGAGGGACCCCATCCCTCTCCTTCTGTAGATTCCCTCCTTTCCTGTAGTTGAGGAATGGGTGCTCCACCCCACGCAAGCCTCTGAGCACAGACAGCTCCTGTGTGGGCAGCTGTGGACAGGGCCACATCAGTGGTGACACAGCAGGTGTCTGGGGCCTGGCCTGGACAGAAGGAAGGAAAGGACCTCCTACAGAGGTCACCCAGTGAGGGTGGCACTTGGGCTGGGAGACAGGAGGCAGGGGCTGACGGACAGGGTTGGCCACACCCACCAGCTGCCAGTGGCTTCAGGACATGGGCTTTGCCTCTTTCCCCACGTAAAGAAGGTAGAAGACATGTCCAGGGCCAGGACTCGGCATGGCTTCCCGCCGCCCTGTGCTGCAGGCAGGAATCTCACCCTCACGCCCTCAGAGAGCCGCACATCCAAATCCCAGGCAGGGAGAGGCACAGGCGCACCCCTTTAAAGGGCCTTCTGTCCACAACAGGAATGTTGGTCTCTCCCAGCACCACACACGGCCGCTGCTGCCTGCCACCGCCGGGTGTGAGGTAGAAGGTACGTGCCTCTCAACTGTCTCCGGTAACTCCAGAACTCGGGGCTCTCAAGTGAGGGAAAGGCAGCCGGGGCGCTGGAGGCAGTGTGCAGTCTCCACCACGCCCGTCCTCGGGCAGCTGTGCCCACTGCACATCCACCAAGATTCCAGGCCTGGCCGGCACCTCCTCCCTCAGGAGTGGAGCTGCCCTGCATGGCCTGTGATCCACAGAGCGCGCGGCTCCTGTGTATCGATCGGCTCCTGCTGCCCTGAGACTCAGCCCTGCCCAGGTCTTCTGCTCACCTGGGGTGGGGGAGCTGGGGCGCGTGTGCCTGCAGTGCAGGGCCTCTGTACAGAGCTGCCCCCAGCCTCGCTTTTATTTTTGAGGCAGGGTCTTGCCACGTCCCCAGGCTGGGTTTGAACTTATGATCCTCCTGCCTCAGCTTCCCAGAGCACTGGGTTACATGTGTGTGCCACCATGCCCGCCTTATTATTACACAGTTTTAAAAACCTGTGCTCTCTGGAAGGGAAGGAAGCCCAGAGCTTCAGAGAGCAGCAGCCACCTCCCATCTCACCCCACTGCCCTGCTCAGGCGCGCCTGGACCCCCGAATCCTTGAAACTCTCGGGCGAGGGAGGGGAAATGGGCAGTTACTCAGCAGGGCTGGAGCATTCGGGGCCTGCAACTCAAGGAAGGCAATGGCTCTGGACGCAGCATGGTACATGGACACCTGGACAGATGGTGCCAGCCCAGGGTTCGCACATCGACCACCCAGGTGGGCATCTCTCAGCCAGTCATCCAGCGACCTCAGAAGGCCCTGCCCCCTCCATCCAGGCACAGTTGGGAGTCGCTATCTGGGCTTTAGCTGTATGGGTTTTGGGGACATTGACCGTGAGATCCCAGCTCATCCTGGGGAGCCAGCAGCCTCAGCTGTAACCACCAGGGGCAAGGACGGAAGCCAGGGTTCCTGTGCTTGGCGCCCACCCTGCACTGCTACCTGAGGTCACTGCTCCCACAGAGGTCCCACCGCCCCTACAGGAACAGGTTTCCTGCCATATCTGTCCCCCAGGTCCCCAGCGTGCCCCCTGCTGACACAGAAGGACAAGCCAACCTCGTCTCCCAAGCTTTAGTGGCAAGATACCCCCCTTACACTTGGGAAGACAAATGACTTTAAATAGACACTCCAAGCAGCTATGTACACGACGCCCCTCTCAGGTCAGGGTGCAGGCAGCAAGACCTGCTCAGCACACCTGGATCATCATCGACGTCACCATGTTGTCAAAGGCCCTTCGAAGAGAAACGGTGATCAGGGAAGACAGCTCCAGTCCTGTCCCCCTGCCGGGAGAGCTGTACCCCTCCAGATCCCCAGGGAAGGACTTTAGGGACCAGGTGAGCGAGCACCACCCCAAGGCCATGATGTGAGCCCCTCCCACCCCTTCAGCCCTGTCTCCTGACCTCGTGGTCCCCAATCCTTCCCCAGCAGAGGCCCCAGGTCAGGGCTCAGAGTCCTAGGCAGGGGCAGGGGAGCAGCAGGTGTCACAAGAACAGCTGGGGACACCTGCTGCTCTCACCTGGATCACAATGACCCAGACTGGTGAGGGAAGGCACGCACAGTCCCAAGTGTAAGGGAGCTGCAGGGGTGAGGGCCAGGACTCAGGGCTCCCACACTTCCAAAGGCTATGCTCTGGCCAGGCCCCTGCACCCCTGCACAGAGGTGGACCCCCAACAGCAGGCCCACCTGGACTGGATGCGGTCCCCAGGGTTGTAGAAGGGGTTACACATCACATCTGTGTAGGAGTTATGCAGCTTCCGGAACATCTGAAACAGGACAGAGCTATGGTTTCAAAGAACACGCTGTTGGGCACGGCCTCTCAGCATTTCCAACCAGCAAAATGAGCAACCACAAACCCAGCCCCGCTGTGGTGCAGCCTCCAATCTCCCACACTCACACTGCGAATTTCGTTGTCTCGAAGGGCTGTGTTTGAGGAGTCCACCACCATGACAAACTTCACCTTGGAGTTGGTCACATAGCCATATCTGCACAGCTGGTTAGGGAACACACAGGGACCACTCTGCGCTCTGGCTTTGGAGATACCTGACAATCCTGAGTTGCAGGAGGCACCCAGGGGGCACAGGTGACGGCACAGGTGTGGGACTGGACACCTTGATGGTGTCAAATGGTGTTTACGGGAGCAGAGGCAGCCAAACCCACATGACTCACACCAAGTCTGCCTCCTCTCTGGATCAATGTTAGGCCCAGAAAGTGAACTGAAAATCAGGGTTCACAAAAAGGCTCCTCCCTCACCAGGCCCTGTCACAGCGCAGGTCAATGTCATTGTTACGGTTTGTATCTAAACATACCCCCAAGCCTGGTGCTCACTGGTAGAGGTTTAGGGAAGTGATGGGGTCACGGGGTGAGACACCCATCAGTGACGAGTTTCTAACAAAGCATGCCCTGGGAGGTAAATGTGGGTGGAGGAGTGGGTCCCCCCCTTCACCTGTTTGCCCACCATGCCTAGAGCCACTCTCCTCTGCCATGTCCGTGTCAGGCCAGCCTATCTGGGAGCCAGCACCTGCCTGGCAAGCAGAAGGTCCTCAATTGGATTCTGGGTATCAAAAGTATACAAATAGATTTTAGAAAGTAAAAATAAGCCTTTCTTCCTTAAGTGATGGGTGTCAGGTATTGTCCCAGCAAAAAATGGTGTTACTACTGGTGAAAACATCTCTGAATTCCTCAACCTCAAGTGAGTATCACAGGGACTGCCCAAAGGTTTCCAATGATGAAAACCCAACAATAAAGACCTAACAACAAATGAATGAAACCACCACCCATTTGAAGACAGGGGCCCCCTGAAAAGCTGAAAAGCACAGGCAGACATCCTCACAAACATAAAGGGAAGCCTCAGTTCCTCCTAACACATATTCCCATTCTCCACAGAGCTCAAGGCCTGTGTATCCCAAGCGAGTCCCCCAAACTAAAAAGTGGTGAGGTTCAGAAGCCTTCATTAGCTTCAGGCTGCCCCAATTCTGTGGTTTGGTGAAAACCTTCACTTTCTTTTTCTTTTCAGGTTTTTCTTTGTTTTTGGTGAGTTTTTTTTGGGGGGGTGGATTTTTAAGACAAGGGTTCACTGCATACTTCAGGCTGGACTTGAACTCACTATGTAGCCCAGGTTGGCTTTGAACTTGCAGTGATCCTTCTGGCTCAACTGGGATTACAGGCACGCACCACCATGCCAGGCCCAATTATTTTCTAGAGTACACCTGACCAGGGCATTGAAAGATACACTTTGTAGTCCTCTGTTGGGTAGAGCAGACCCAGGTAGAGCTCCCGCTGGTCCACTAGAGCCTTCCCCATGGCGGAGATCTTCTCATCCACCACGTCCAAAGATGTGTGCACCATGTAGTGGAACTTGAGCTCATTCTCCATGGGGGTGCTACGGATGTAGAGTGGGTAATTCTGCAAGAAAGGATGCTGACAACTCAGAAGACAGGAGCCCAACCAGCACATGTTGACTCTCAACAGTAGAGTGCCAGAGAGACTCAGCCACCCACTCACCATCCTGCGTAGGGACCCTCTTCTGACTTCCACACTTCTCTCCCAGCCCTGTCTGCAGGCCCCATCTCACCTACACAAGTTTACGTCCTATTAGCTGAGTGTTGGCCCCTTCTCCTGGGTGGCTGACACATGAACCTTCCTGAGTCCACTCTGCCTCAGCCGTATCTCGGGGTACGACAGGGACCCTAACATAGGACCCCGGAAGACCAGTGGCCCTGTTCCTCAGCCTTTGGAGGCTCAGCTCAAGATCTCCATTTCTACATCTAATTATCCCGACCCCATGAATGGACAGCTTCTCTTCCAGCCTCCTACACGCCAATTTCTCATGCCTGCTCAAACTGGGCACGCCGACGTATGTAACAAGATAGCCCCATCTGCTAACCAGGACGGTACCTGGTCCACGGACCTGCAAACACACACTGGCAGTCCCAATTTAGAATGGTTTATAGACAATGCTTTACCACGAGTTTATCCGGGCATTAGATGCATGTTTTACTTATGATAGTTTCAACTTACTGAGGGTTTGTGGGGACAGAACCCCACCCTAAAGAGGTGCACCTGTCAGCGCACCGCTGTGGTTGTGCTCCAAGCCCAAGAGGGGCGTCACAGCCACAGGTCCCAGATCGTGTCCACTGTCTGCTAAGAAACGCTCCGTGCAGAGGAGCAGGGAGATGCGCGCTGGCCCGTGAAGGAGGGAGGTGGGAGACCTCGGGAGAGAGAGGGCCCGTCCGGGGACTGCAAGTGGCACTGCGTTGGGGGGCAGGGGGTGGTTTAACAAGACCCCACCCTGAGGCAAAGGGAGCCTCTGGCTACCCTCAGGCAGAGGTGCACCCCCGTTTGTTCTTTGAACCCCCGGGCAGGGGAGGGCGGCGCCGTCTGGGACGAAGCGGGCCACGGAAACAGACAGAAACGCGGAAGCCGGCGGAGAAAGAGCCGCAGACCCGAGCAGAGGGCGGAGCGGCTCCGGCCCTGGCGTCTGTCCCGTGGTCCCGCGGGGAGGAGTTCCGGGGTGACAGGCGGGCCGCTGGGCCCGGACTGCGGCTCAGCCAGGCTCAGGACGCCGGGCCGGAAAGGAGGGGACGCGGGGAAGCGCGGGCAGTGCGAGCTCCCGCGGGCTGGGCCGGGCCGGGCCGGGCCGGGGAGGCCGCGCGCCCACCGCCGCCGTTCCACACGCACCTCCTTGGCGATCACCGCGATGCACACCGCCATCTTGGCCGGCCGCACGCCGCGTCACGTGACCAACCGCCCGGCGTCACGTGGCTGCCGAGCCCCGCCCCCGCCGGGCGGCCGTTCCGGGCCCGCCCTTGCTGTCACTCAGCGGGCTTGCGCCGCCGTCCCGCCCGCCCCGCTGCTCCCCGCGGCAGTCCCGCTCCGCCTGTCCCTCGGCGCAGGCTTCCCTGGCGCGGCCGGTCCCTGGCCGGCCAGACAAGCAGCGCGCGCGCTCTCCCCGGCCCGGCGCAGTGGCCATGGCGGCGGCGGTCGCGCTGCGGCTGCCGCTGCCGCTGCTGGTGCTGGTGAGCGCCGCGGGGCTCGCTGCCCTGGGCGCCCCGCAGCCCCCCAACATCCTGCTGTTGCTCATGGATGACGTGAGTGCGGGCGGCGGCGGTTGGGAGGGCTAACCCCGAACCCCACCCCGGCCCAGCCGCGATCCCAGCATCACCGCGACCCTCACCCCCAGCCTGAGCGGCCCTTCCTCACCGGGAGCCCCACCCCACCCCCTCCCTGGGGCTGGCGCGGGCTGCCAGGTGGACTGTCGCACGCGTGCAGCCAGGCGTCCCTCTGTGCATTTCTGCCGTGGCACCAGAAAAAGTGAAACTGCGCGGGCGCTCTCCCGGCATTTCCACTGGACAGCTGTTTGGGGCGCGAGGTTTTGGGTGATGTCCTGTGGGGGAGGGCGGCTGGGAACCCTCGCACCTGGCGGAAGGTCCTGGGGTAGGCAGGAGGAGCTGTGCTGCCCAGCCTGTCCCATAGGGCTGTTGGCCACTGGCACCCAGAGCACCTGCAGGACTCCTGGCTGGGCCCGTGGAGCTGTATTGGGACTGGCACAGCCCTGCCCACCTGCAGTCCAGCTCAGCATGGGTAATTTATAACCAGGCTTTGGGTCAGAATTTAGAAATTCAAAAATAAAAACAGGCCAGGGGTGGAGCGCAATGCAAAGACCCTGGATTTAATCATTTATACTGAAAAAAAGAACAGAAGAAAAAACTTTTTTAAGGACTAGAAGTCCATTCAAAGTCAAAGGAATTGAAGCAAAGCCAGGGATTCCTCACTGGGCACAGCAGTGCATGCCTGTACTCCCGCTTGAGGGTCACAGGTTCAAAGCCAGCCTGAGCAATTTAGTGAAACCCCATTTCAAAGTAAAAAACCAAAAGAACTAAAGATGTATCCCGGTGGCAGAGTGCTTGCCTAGGTTCCATCTCTAGTACCACCCAAAACAGAGGAGGGTGGAGAGAATTTCCTGGCTGTGCCCTGACAGGCCAGAACAGCGCACCCTGGCTGCAGGCAGGTGGAACCTCTTCCAGGCCGCTTAGCTGTGCTGTCTCTCCCGTGACCCTGCGATGACTCATCCTTACCCTGCGGTAGCACCTCGAGACTCAGGCTCACCAGTCTCACAATCACCTGACCTAGCAGGACAGCAGCTACCCCAGCTTGCTGAGCCCATTGGCCTGGCCTGGGTCAGACCCTGGAGCCAGACACATTGCAGGGTGGAGGAGATTGCTAACCTGCCAAACGGGCCCCCAGAGCCTACTCCCAGAAGTGCTGCCTCTGCTGAGGAGGCATCTGCATTTATCTGATTTACCTGGCAAGGGGTACAGGCAGGTGCTCCACGTGCCAGTTGTAGCCTTGACGTGTAGAAGGCCACCTTCCCTGGCCATACTGTCCTCCCCTGCAGGCTGGCTGCCTCTGCCAGGTTCGTGTCGCTGTACCAGGAATCCGAAGCTTCATGACTCTCCACACCCGTGGAGAACCGGCCACCTCTAGCTCAGATTGTGCGGGAGCCATTGTCCACTATGAGCTGGCTGCCTGAGGCCTGGTCTCTCCCTAGCCCAGACATCGCTGGACTAGCCAGGCAGAGGCACCTAGCCAGGCAGAGGTGCCAGGCTGCCCCCATCCTTCTTAGAGGATGGTGTTGTAGGAAAAGGGGTGCTCCCACACTGGTGCACTGTATCATGTGCAAGTGAATCACCTACTGGCCACAGTGACCGATGAGAGCCCTGCCCACAGTCTGACTGTAGCAAAATTACAGTCTGCCATCGGCTGGGGCGGGAACAGCAAAGTCTGGTCACTGAGTGATCTCAGAGCTGGTGCGGGTGAGTGGGGCCTTACGGTTAGAGGCCTACCTCCCTCAAGCCTGGAGCTACCTGAGAATAGGGTGCTTGGTGTCTGCACCTTACGTGGAGGCCACTGTAGTCTCACATGTGTCTTAGTGGGTGCCAGGCCCTAACCAAAAGGCAGGGCCTCAGTCAAGGATGGCTCATCACTCATGGTCACAGCGCTTTCTCTCCAGTGAGTGTGGGCGGTCATCTGGGGGTCTTTGGCAGTTTCCTTCTTTGCAGTGCTAGAGATTAAACCCAGGGCCTTCTGAATGCCAGACAAGCCCTCAACCATTGAGCCACCTCCCTAGAGCTTTATTTTTGAGCTAGTTTTCCCGAGTTGCCAGGCTGGCCTTCAACTCCATTTTCCTGTAACCACTGGAATTATAGGCAGTCACCCATCACCTGGCTCTTTGGAACTTTCTTTTTTTTGTCTTTTTCATTTTTATCGGTACCGGGGATCGAATCTTTGGAACTTTTGACAGGACAGAAAGATGCTTTACATGCCAAGGGGCTGGGCAGGGCATGATGTGTAGTCACTTCTAACCCCTGGATCCCTGTCTCAGGGACTGTCACGTCCCCATTTTTAAAGTAGGAAGCCAGCAAGTAACAGGAACAAGGGTTGAGCAGAAAGGGGTTCAGCAGACAGCCTAGGATTGCTGTCCTCAGAGGCCCAGAGAGCAGGTTGCACTGGTGGGCACTGGGCCTGGGGTTGTGGCCGCACCCCATTGTTGTGTGATGGGAACGGCTCCCAGGAAAGGACTGTGTATGCAAGCACTGTGATCTACAGGACACCTGCCTCCCTCCGGGGTTCAGGAACCGTGCCACCCACCTGGCAGACTCCCCTGCCACCACCTCCGATAGAGCCCGCCCTTAGTTCTTCACCAGCTTCCTGCTCAACACCACACACACGTGTTGTCACTTAGTGCCTGAGGAAGTGAGCTCTTGTGGGCTCCTCCGGGGACTCTGGACTCGGCCCTGGCCTCCCTCCCTGTGCACCCCGCCGCTGGCCTTGCTGCTTGGCCTTCCACTGCGGGACCACAGCCTCAAGACCTGCTGGGACCTGTGGCTCCTTGGCGTGAGGGTTTCCATGCCCTCTGCTTCCTGAGTGGCCAGTGCTGACAGCTATGCCCGCCTGCCTCCACTCGCTCCTGGCGGCCCAGGAACAAGCTAACAGATCCCTCCGGAGCCACTCTGCCCCCACACACCTTCTTGGGGTAACCAGGCTCCTGACACAGGAGCCTTCTGTCTCCTGGGGCAGCAGTAGCAGGGAGAGGGGAGGCAGGATGCACACACTCACCTGGGCACCTCGGTGCTATGGTTGGAGCCAGTGTCTGCCCCTCCTCACGGGGCCAGGCTGTACCAGGCTTGAGCCTCCTGCCACTCAGCCTCCCTTGCAACCAGTGTGGCCATGTGGCATAGATCTGGCCGCTGGCGCCTTCCTGAATGACAGAGGTACTGACCAAGGCCCTCTGGGCCTCACTAATGCCTCAGCTCCTCCCAGCTGAAGCACAGCACTGTACCCTTGAGGAAAAACCTACCCAGGCCTGGGGAGGTCACTGCACGTGTCCTGAGGATGCCCCAGCCCAGCTAGGGTACTGGCTCCATCCCTGGCTGCACATAATGTGCAGGACTGTGCCACAGGACTCAGTGGCTGAGGCACTGGCCCTCTGTCCTCCAGCCTGGCTGCTTTAGCCACCCACCCTGCTCACCCTGCTCCTGCCTGCTCAGGCACCTCTGTCCAGGCCAAGCCAGTGGTGCCCATTGGCATCAAATGGAAAGGCCATTTCGGTGGGGTCAGAACGTTCTAGAAAGGGCCAGACAGACTCATGTGCCCACAGATCCTACAGCCAAAGGGGCCTTTGCAGGACAAAGTCCAGCCTGAGTCAGCCCTGAGGCCCCAAAAGTCTGGCCAAGTACCAGAGAAGGGAAGAGAGGCAGAGTCACCCTGAAGTGCTACCCTCACCAACCCTGGACAGAAGACTGGGCCGCTGGCCATCGTGGCCAGCTTTCCTGAGACGCTGCTGGGTCCAATTTCCTGACCCGGCCTCAGGGACCCTGACCACCCCATGCCCCGAGTTGTCTCGATCACTTACTAGACTTACTAGAACCTAATGAGCCCAGAGGGCCGGGCACTGGCACCAGCTGAGACCCCTGAGAAGGAAGACTAGGGCACCCACACTCCCCTGTTTCTACAACCACCCCACTGAGACCTAGGTCACCTGGTGACCGTGCACAGTCCCATGGGGTTGGCACAGTCACCGAGCTGTGTGGCCACCACACAGTGTTAGGTCTCCTTGTCACCTCACCTAGAAACCCGCCTACCTGCTGGCCACTGCCAGGCACAGCCTGCCTCCTGTCTCGGCAGCTTCACCTGTCCTGGACAGTCCAACCACTCTTCACGGCTGAGTAGCATCCCAGGCACCCGAATCACAGATTACTGCAAGCCGTTTGGCCTGAAACAGGAGAAGCGCGTCAGCCAGGGTGCTGCAGAGCTGCCTCCACAAAGCCTCCTGACACATCTGTCTCAGGAGTCCTCTGGGGACTTTGCTGACCTGACCCACCGTGCATTACGTCTACAAAGGCCCTATTTCCAAATACGGCTGCATGTCCTGGGCAAGCGTGAGCTTAGGGGCCTGTCTATCACATCTGGTGACTCTAGGTTGGTCCCAGCCTGAGGCTGTTGCAGTCACACCACTGTGCACACTCAGGACCATCTGGACACAGGCTGTGTTGCCCAGTGTGGGAGGCTGGGTCGTCTGCTGTTTCGGGGAGCTCACCACCTGCTCTGTAGTTCTGAATTTGCATGCAGCTCTGTGTAGATGCTGCCGGTTATGGCCCTCAAGGAAGAGCGGCCCCTCCCCAGGGAACCAGACAGGATGGAGCAGCAGAGCGGAGGCCTTGGGGCCTTTGGGGCCATGTTGGGTGTGTGCTTGTGGCTCACTGGGCAGCATGGGACTGTACTGAGTCCCCTGAGACAGAAGGCTGTGTGCTGAAGGGGTCCACGCCACGTGTCCATGCTCTTCTCTACAGATGGGGTGGGGTGACCTGGGAGTGTATGGAGAGCCCTCCAGAGAGACCCCGAACCTGGACCGCATGGCTGCAGAAGGGATGCTGTTCCCCAGCTTCTACTCCGCCAACCCTCTGTGCTCACCGTGTAAGTCTGTGTCACTGTCCAACCGTGGGCCTGGCTGTTCCTGTCACATCCGGCCAGCCCTGGCTCTGCAGGGGGTGGCCAGCAGGCCCTGGATACTGTCTGAGCTCCTCCAGGTCAACCTCTGGCCCTCGAGACTGCTCTGTGCTCTTAGAGGAATGGCTGTCTCTTCTCCCCCTGGAGGTCACTCCTGCCAGAGAGGAGGTTACCTGGGTTGAGAAACCACAGCTGGAGAGAGGTTACACTGACTCTTACCGGCAGTGTGCTGGCTGTCCCATGGCCTGCAGGGCTGGGCACACGTTTGGGACGGCCTGAGCTGTGCGTGCAAAGTTGTGCCCACAGCCTGGGGATGTGAGGCTGAAGGAGGTGAAAAGCCCACTGAGTGCAGTGTCGCTGGTACATGTGCGACCTCAGCAGCACAGGGTCTGTGTGAGGTGCGCTGAGCCAGCCGAGCTTCCGCCAGATCCATCCTCACAGTGTTTCTGTTTGTCACCTGCAGCCAGGGCGGCCCTGCTCACTGGACGGCTGCCCATCCGCAACGGCTTCTACACCACCAATGGGCACGCCAGAAACGGTGGGTGCTGCCCCTCGCACCCTGGGGCCCAGGTGTGGCTGGATGGGGTGCAGGAAGAGGAACCCGGCCTCAGTTGTGCAGACTCTGGCTTTTGTCCTGCAGTCATTGGAAGATCCATCCCAGCCTACTTAGTGCCCCTTCCCACCACCCCACCCTGTTCCCAGGCACTGCCCAGCCCAGCTGGAGAATGGGGCATCCCTTCCTCAGGGACTTCATGACCGTCTGGGGTAGCAAAGACCTAAGACAGCCAAGTGGTGGGAGGTCCCCGCAGGGAATGTTCTGGAAACAATGCCAAGACCCAGATGGTCCTCCAGGGATGACTCCCAGATGGGATGGGATTGCATGGGCCCGAAGAGAAGGCAGCAGGGAGCTGGGCACAAGCTGTGCATTACCGTGGGAACCGCTGCCAGGCCAGGCCAGGAGGCTGAGACAGGCATAACATCCAGAGAGGACCTGGGGCACATCTCTCCTGTGCCCCTTGGAAATGATATGGAAATGCCTTGGAGGGTGTGGGAACCCTGAGAGGGCTGTGTGGACATGCCATGTCCTAGCCTGCTCTGCCTGGTGGCCATGCTAGACAGGGCCGGCCGAAGGACCTGTGCTCACACGCAGCCCCACCCTTCCAGCGTACACACCGCAGGAGATAGTGGGCGGCATCCCAGACTCTGAGCGCCTCCTGCCCCAGCTGCTGAAAGAGGCTGGTTACGCCACCAAGATCGTGGGCAAATGGTGAGTGTGCAGGTTGCTCACTGAGGCTGGGGCCCGGCTCGGGACTGCTCAGTGGCTGTGAGCAGAGCGCCCGCTCAGCCCCACACTCGGCCCCCTGCTCCAGGGCCACTGCTGGGGTGACACTGGCTAGCCACAGAGGCTGTGGTCTGGGGAAAGCTGCTCTGTGGAGAGAAGGGTGCCAGCCCATGACTCCCGCACAGTGGTGGTTGCAGGTCTGTACTTTCCTGTTGCAGGCACCAGATTTCTCTTCCTCCCTGGGACCTGAGGGGTAAAAAGCCTGTGGCCAGGGCCACAGATGCTCTTCCCGTCTGCGCCCAGGGGTCTTCCCCAGCCCTGCCCTCTGTGAGGGCCCTGCTGCCCGTGGTCTCTTGTCACTCCCCTTGGGCACGGCTTCTCCAAGGACACTGACAGTTGTGAAAAATCTGCTGAGACCAAAAGGACGACTGTAGGAACATCCAGGCGGCTGGAGACTTGTAGGGGACAAGAGGGAGCCGAGCTTGACCAGGAGATACAGCCAAGCAGAGGTGGCAGATGTGTCGGGCTGAGGAACTCAGCTGGGGCAGGGGGGCCACATTGAGGCTGGCCCTCAGGAGCTGCACAGGCCTCAGAGTGCCACCCACATGGCCCAGAGCTCTTTCCCTGGTGCCTGGCAACTCTGTGGAGGCCTGCAGTTTCCGGCTCAGTACTGACATGGGTGGTGGAGCCCACTGGTGGAGAGCTGTGACCAGAGGAGCGGGAGCTGAGCAGGCCTGGAGGACCAGCGCTTGTAGACTTGGGACAAGGCTGCCATGGCTGCGGGCCAGCTGCTTCCCAGTTGAGGGGTCCCTGTCTCCACAGGCCTGTCACCCTGCCTTGATGTCCCTCCTCAGAGTGCCCAGACATCAGCACCCAAGATCCAGTGTCATTGGCCTGATTGGGTCCTGAGGTGACACAGCCCTCTGGAAGCCCTTGTGAGCCTGGCTGGCACTGTCTCTCTCCACTCTTGTTTGGGGACAGGTTCCCTGGCCTGCCCCTCCCCCTGAGCAGGACCCCAACTCACTTTTTCCTACACAACGGCCTTGGTGCTGCTGGACACAGACACAAAGGAGCCATATGTGGCCAGACAACTGCCCACCCTCAGGGAAGACCAGCCATCGTGGGAGGGCCCAAGGGCTCCTGAGATGCCGAGGACTCGGCGTGGATGCCAGGCCTGGCAGGACGAAAAGATGGGGTACAGGCAGCCTACACCATGGAGCCAGGCCCTTGCCCCAGAGTGGGGAAACCCAGTCCAGACAGACAGCTTACCTGAAACCCAGATGGTTTGGAGCCCAGCCTTCTGTGCCACTCGTGTGACCCAGCCATCTAGTAACCCAGTGCAGGGTCCCAGGCATATCAGGGCTAGGCCTCCTGCTGTATCTTCCAAGGCGCGTCCCTGAGCAGCTCAGAAAGAGACGCCTACCTCTGGTGTCACTGTCTTCCAAGTAGCCACTTTCATTGGCATTCATAGAAAGTATACAGAACTTGTGCATGTGGGCCAAAGCTGTGACTCAGCCACTGCTGGAAGCCACAGTGCTCTGAAGACCAAAGAGGTGGACACCCCCAGGATGGGACAGAACCTGATCAAGGCCCCCAAGCCTAGGCGTCCCTCTCTGTCAGCTGGTGGAAGGGGGCCCTGAGAGTGGTGTCCCCAAAAAAGAGATGTGTGCCAGACACCTGTGGTGGGGGACCAGTAGGCCCTCAGGCCTCAGGTACACGTGTCTCTGTCTGCACAGCTCCTGCACTGTTGCCATTTGGGCATGCTGCCATGTTGTGATTGCCTGGTTAGAACTCACAGCTAGGCTGGGGATCCAAGCACAGCCCACAGTCCGAGCTGCTGGTGGCCCACTGCCCACCACTGCCACCTTCCTGGAGGTGAGGCCTCAGGAGACGCGTGCCACAGGAACACAGCCCCTGGCACCCCTGGAGGCAGCTGGCCCTGGGTGTGCTGGGAGAGTGGAGTCTGCAGGGTTGGTGGCATTCGGGGATCTCTCCGCATGCACCATCCTCCAATGCTCTCCCTGCCTGCCCATCACCACAGGATGCCCCAGCCTTGCTGTGCCCAGGCACCCAGGCCATGGCTCAGCCCGAGGACAGCAGTGGACTCCAGCACTTTCTTCTGGGATGAGGGCTGGCTTTCCACATGGTGCACCTGGGGTATTGCACACACCTGGAGCCGGGGTGCTTTTTTGTTACATGTGAGGCCAAAGTGTCCCTGGGTACAATTCCTGATGTGCCCGGTTCCTGTTTCTAGGCACCTGGGTCATAGGCCCCAGTTCCATCCGCTGAAGCACGGATTCGATGAGTGGTTTGGATCCCCCAACTGTCACTTTGGACCTTACGACAATAAGGCCAGGCCCAACATCCCTGTGTACAGGAACTGGGATATGGTCGGCAGGTACTGTGCTCTGCCCCACTCTGCCGTTGCCCAGCAGCTGCAGGAAGGTGAGACCTGAGCCGCCTGCACGGTGTTGGTCCTGGGCTCCAAGAGCTCTGGTTCCCAGGAGTCCTTCCCAGAGCCTGGGCCCAGCCTGGTGCTGTGTCAACCTGTCTGGGGTCAGAGATCCCTTTGGGATGCTTGAGTCAAAGGGGTTCCACAGCTTTGCCCTTGGCTTCAGGGTCCAGGGAACCTGTGCTGCCCCAGGAGGCCTACAGGCCGTGGCCTCCATGTACAGAGGAGGCGCTGGGGGCAGCCTGATCTGGGGTGGGAGGAAGTCACCCCAGAGGAGCCAGAGAGTGGCCTGGTGTGGGCACCTGCAGCACTGGGCCTGTGTCACAGTCCATGTCTTTCTCAAGTTGTTGGGTATAACATTTCTTTTTTCTGTGTGTGTTTGTATAAAGTTCATTAGTAAACCAAAAACCTATGGCAACCATTGGCTTTTTAAAAGTCATACCTTCAAGTTAGCCTGCACTACCAGCTAACCAGGAGGCTGAGGCCAGGGGATCCCAATTTCAAAGACAGTTTGGGAATTTAGCAAAACTCTGTCTCAAAATAGAAGCTGAGAAGGTAGCTCAGCAGTTGGGCCCCTACCTAGCACTCATGAGTGCAAGTCCCAGCTCCAGCACTTCACAGGAAAGAAGCTTTCCTGAGGCCTAATTCCCTTGCACACAGCTCCCCACCCCAGTGTGCAGTCCCGGGGCTTCAGTGTGTTCCGGAGTCACAGGACCCCACCGCAGGCTGTTCTGGGCATTTGCACCCCCTGGAAAGCCCTTGCGCTTAGCTACGCCCATGCTGGCCGCAGTAACCAGGAGGCCTCTGCCCACGGGAAGGGCCCCCAGGCCTGGTTTTGACTCGGAGGAGCAAGCTTCAAATAGGGGCACAGAAGGGGCCTCGCAGCTGACTTCTACTTTCCATCTGGATCATGTTTTCAGATTTTATGAAGAATTTCCAATCAACGTGAAGACTGGGGAATCCAACCTCACCCAGATCTACTTACAGGTGAGGGGCTGGCCAGGCCGAAGGCAGCACGGCAGACAGGTGAGTGGCTGGCCAGGTGGAACACGGGGCAAACAGTGATGGCCGTACTCCCCAGGAAGCTCTGGACTTCATCAGGCAGCAGCAGGCTGCCCAGCACCCGTTCTTCCTGTACTGGGCTGTGGACGCCACGCACGCCCCTGTGTACGCCTCCCGGCCTTTCCTGGGCAGCAGCCAGCGCGGGCGGTGAGCACTTAGAGTAGTGCGGCCTGAGGTGCCTGCGGGCTGGGTAGCAGAAGGGCCTGTGTGGTCACTGTGGGCTCCGCCCCCATGGGTACCCCTCAGCCAGCGCCAGCCTGTCCCTGGTGCTCTGTGGTGCCCCTGGGTGTCCTGCTGACAGGCTGTCACCATCCACAGGTACGGGGATGCTGTTCGGGAGATCGATGACAGTGTGGGGAAGATTCTGAGCCTGCTGCGGACCCTGAGCATCGCCGAGAATTCCTTCGTCTTCTTCACCTCAGACAACGGTGCCGCCCTCATCTCTGCTCCCAGCCAAGGCAGGTGCCTGGGGTCTGGGAAGCAGCCATGTAGCAAGCCCTCCATAGTGTGGGCCCTGGTGGGGGCTTGGCATCATGGCCTGGGACCCCTAAGGGCTGCAAGGACTGGATTGAGGCTAGCTGCCTTTGCTAGACCCCCCACCAAGAGCATGGCCCCCATCCCATCGAGAGGGCAGGCAGACCCACATCTCCATAGGGACCAGAAGTCCCCATTCCCCCCAGAACTTGCAGCCAGAGCAGCCACGGGCACCCAAAGTCACCTGAGACCCAGACCCAGCCTTTGTGCCCACAATGGCTATCTGACTGGCATGGCCTTGGAAAGGAGGATGGGAAGCAGGAGGAGCAGTGCCTGATGGACAATGGCTCTCCAGGTGGCAGCAATGGTCCCTTCCTGTGCGGGAAGCAGACCACGTTTGAAGGTGGGATGAGGGAGCCCGCGATTGCATGGTGGCCGAAGCACATCCCTGCTGGCCAGGTAAGTCAGCACCGCTGTGGTGGCTTGTGCCAGTGGCTGAGGCTGCAGCAGCTCTGAGGGACAGGTGTCGGGTACACTGGTGCCCAGGCCACTGGATGTGCACGTTCATCAGCCACAGGCTGTGGTCTGTTGGGACAGGTGTGTGGGGGATAGCAGTGTGTATGGCGTGTGTCCTGCTGCATCCCTGGCCTGGCCCAGCATCAGCATCATCCGTCACCCTGCAAGCACCGCTCCCCAGCTGGGCACCATGTGCCTGCCCACTGCCTTTCCTTCCTGGCCTTTTCTGGTCTCCTGGGGGCACTGCTAGGTCCTGGGGGCAGCTCTTTACCTGGTAGTGGTATATGTGGGGCCTAAGGTCCCCATACACTTGGGGACAGCACCCCATGGCCTCTTGTGGCAGCTCCTGCTGGCTCCAAGCAGAACCATTTCCTGATGTCCCATCCTCTGGCCAGTTGTGCCCCCAGACCCATTGACCCCCACCCCAGGCTCCTTGACTTCACCTGACTCTGACTCTGTAAGGCATGGCACGTGGCTGCCCGAGTCTCTGGACCAGCTGGGCGGCCTGGTCGGGGCTGAGATCCCTGTCAAGTCGGCCATGTCCATTGCAGGTGAGCCACCAACTGGGCAGCCTCATGGACCTTTTCACCACCAGCCTGGCCCTTGCGGGCCTGAAGCCACCCAGCGACAGGGTGATTGATGGCCTCAACCTGCTCCCCACCATGCTGCAAGGCCAGCTGATGGATAGGTGGGTGCCAATGACACGTGCCTCTGCCCCAGCTCTCCCACGTGTTAGCCACGGGTGGTGCCTTCGCAGAACAGGGGGAGACCCCCCCCAGTGCTTGCGCTCTCTCTGACACACGTATGCACCCACACACACACACCCCTGCTCACTCTGTAGTCCAGACTGCTCTTGTGGCCTCAGCCTGGGTAGGAGGGAAGTACAGACTGTCCCACCTGTGCCAGACCCTGCTTGACACTCCCTGTGCAAACTACCCCCTTTCCACCCACATCTGTCACCATCTTGCTCACACAGACTGCGTCCTGGGCCGCTGTGCGGAGCACAGATTCAGAAAGCTAAACACCAATTACAGAAGGTGGAGGCAGCATGAAGAGCTCCCTGTGGGGCTCTGGTTTTGTGGGGAGTTTGCCCTCATTTCAGAATTGCTTGTTTTTGTCTTGAAACCTGGCCCAAGAGTTCAGTTACTGCTAAAAAGAGTAGGCACTGGGTACCCAGCCTCCCAGCACCCGGTCCAGACTCTGTCTGAGCCACCTGTAGTCACTTTCCATGTCTCTGGACAGCCCCCGTCTCGCCTTGGTCACCTCTGTAAATGTCATCTGAATCCTGGCTCACCAACCGAGTACTCTGTCAGGTCAGGCTGACCCTCCCCTCCCTTCCCACAGGCCCATATTCTATTACCGTGGTAACACCTTGATGGCTATCACCCTCAGCCAGCACAAGGCCCACTTCTGGACCTGGACCAACTCCTGGGAGGATTTCAGACAGGTACAGGGCTCAGGTGCGGGTCGTGGGTGAGGTTGGCTAGCATCTGTGTCCACCCTGGCCCACTGACTTGAGTATAGATACATTTGTGCTGGGACCAGGATGGGTAGGTGTCTGGGATGCCCAGGGCTGCTCAGACAAGGCAGGACCTCCCCTACAGGGACATTCAAAGTGCAGGCCCAGGCCTGGCCTGGCTGGGGCCATCAGCATGCATAGCATGGTGCCAGCTAGGCCAAGGTGTGAGGGGAAGTGCCCTTGTCCCTTCTATCACGGGTCCTCCACGGGCTGCTTGGCACCCGCCCCACCCGGCCCGTGGGCTCATCAGGCCTTTAGATAACATGAAAACTGTTAATTTGCCTTCATTGAACATAAAATCAATTTAAGTTAATGAGAAATGTAAATACTAGAGCACTCAGAATCAATTGGGAAGCAAATTGCAAACTGGCCCAGGAGTTGGGTGAGGGTGGGTGTGTGGGCAGGGCCGGGCCAGGCCAGGAAGTGGGATGGGCATAGAGCAGGCAGGGAACATGGACTTGGAGCTGGCTGGAGGACACCAGCTGAAGGACCAAGTGCCTCGGGGTGTGCCCAGGGCACTGGCCCTGTCCTGCCTCCAGGGCTGCTCCTGGCTGTGACTGGGCACACAGTGGCCGCTCAGTCCCTTTGGCCTCCTAAGGCTGGGGACACACAGGAAGGCTGTCCACCACATCTGCAGAGGTCTGGGGGGTGTCAGGAGAAGCTCACCCCAGGACCCAGCCCTCTCACCACCCCGCACTGATATGTCCCTAATCCCTTTCCTGCTGGGCTGGTGAGGGGTGAGGTGAGGGGCCCAGTGAGGGGCGGGTGCCAGCCTTGAAGCCTGGTCAGGTCCCTGCTGTCCGTGCTGTGGCCTGCCATGGGCAGTGTGGGTACTGTCCTACCTGTGTGCCTGGGGTCCCGGTGCTGGGAGCTCAACACACACCTGTCACGGTGGCTAGCTGCAGGTGACAACCCACTCTTCTGACCTGCAGTAACTGCCCGGTGGCCAGTGGCATCCCCCATGGCCACTGTGAAACCCCAGGCAGTGCTGTGTGACCTCAGGAAACATGCAAAGGTCTCGGGACCTATCCATGCGGGCTCTGAACTCCCAGCCTGCGTCCCTACCCACCATCCTGCTTTTGTCGTCAGCCCCTGGCCCTCAGCCACTGCCTGCACCCCTGCTCTGGGACTGGCATCTCCTTGCAAGCCGCCCAGAGGGTTGTCATGGGCAGCCAGGCTCTTGCCCCTCAGGCAGTGTGGTTCTAAGCAGTGCCCTGCACCAGGTGGCAGGTTCTTAATAACACAGCGCGTTCAATTTGCATCCAAAGCAGTTAGCATCTTCTTCATCCAGACTTGGACGCTGCTTTAATTGCCTGGCAATCCATGCTGCAAGCGGTGGCTGCCACCGTGCAGGCCACACGCAGGGTGCTCAGAGGGCACTGGTGTCAACTGGTATGGCTGGTCACCTCTCTGATGCTTGCCATCCTCAGACCCAGGTTCTGCTGCTCAGTATAAACAGGAATTCAGGGGTGGCTGACCGCTGGTTTTATTGGAAGCAGAATATTCATGGCTCCCTGACCAGTGGTCAGCACAGCCTTAGGGTGAGCAGCCATATAGTGCGTCCCCTCTGCAGGCCTGTGGGCACCAACTACCAGAGCCAGGCCCACCCTGCTGTCCAGCTACATATGGGACTGTTGGAGCTGAGGGTAGCAGGGGCTTCCCTGGTCCCAAATCAGGGTGACCCAGGCAGCCAGAGAGAAGCTTGGTGCATAGGGTGGCATCCATGGCCTGTCATGTGGGCCTCAGTGGTCACAGTGCTGAGCCAGGGCTGCAGCTGCAGGCCTGAGCCTGAAGAGGATCTCAGCTTGTCGCCTGCCTCTTTCACTCTGTCTTCCCAAACCCGTGGAGTGCCACTCCCCTGGCACCCTCGCCCTTCTGGCACACGTCAAAGCCGTGCCCTGCTTCCCCACCCTCCAACTCCCCGCTGTGCGGTGATGATTCAGCTGTGCTGGGCACACAGGTGTCAAAGGTGTTCTTTGTGTCATTGGTGGCAGTGGAGATGTGAAGTTGGCTAAGATATTTCACAGACACCTCCGCCACAAAGGGGCCAGACAGAACACCAAGCCAACCTGCTGTGGTTGCCAGCCTACCCCCAGGATGGCAGGTCCCCCACCCCACCACTCCATCCTGATGCAGGATCAAGTGGCCACAGTGGCCCCACGCAGGGGAGACGGCAAGGCAGGCAGGCTTCCCTGTGCCCAGCTCAGGCTCCAGGCACCCAGCTCCTCTACTGCTTGTCGCAGGGTATTGACTTCTGCCCTGGGCAGAACGTTTCAGGAGTCACCACCCATACCCAGGAGGAGCACACGAAGCTGCCACTGCTCTTCCACCTGGGGCGTGATCCCGGAGAGAGGTTCCCGCTCAGGTGAGTCTGCTGCTGCTGTGCTGTCTGCCAGGGTTCTCCTGGCAGTGCTGGTGTGTGCCAGGGAACCTGACCCTCCTCTCTCCCCACCTGGGGAAGTGGCTGCCCCCTTCTGCCCCAGACTTCAGTTCATTAGACCTCCAGCAACCATGTCACCTGCTCTGAGCTAGCTACCTTGTGGATGGTGAGAGCAGGGGTGGAGGCCATTGGGGATGTGTGCGCCCTGTAACAACAGGAGGGACCCTCGGAGCACAGGTCCCAGGAACAAAGCAGCTGAGGGTGATGGCCAGCCCCATTTCCACTGGTCTAGGCACCTGCTTCCCTGGAAGTAACTGAGGACTCAGAGCTCCTGTCCCCAGGCCCCAAACCCCCATACCAGCCTCACAGCACAGCTGTTGGAGCAGATCACCAGCAAGCAGGGTGGCTCTGGATTTCCACTGCCCAGGCCCACCATCACCTCCTCCCTAACATCTGGTCCCAGCGCAAGGCTATCGCTCACTGAACGGACTGCGTCTACATCCCCACTCCATCTCCAGCATCCCCACCGCACTGGTCCTAGGGACACAGGTTCTCTCTGAACAGCCAGCCTCCTGTTTGGGACAAGCTGGATTCAGGCAGAGTCACGGCACTGAGTGTTGGGGGGTGTAGGCTCTGAGATTGCTGCCCAGATCCCCAATCCCGCAAATGGGTGCACAGGGAAGGCCCAAAGGAATGAGACAAGTGGCATGATCTTAGGCTCCAGGAAGACTAAAATCCTTGGCAGAGCTAGTAGCTCTGCTAGCCGGCCGGCCGACTGACGCTGGGCAGCCCGTATTTAATCAGGACAAGCCAGGAGCTGAGTGGAAAATGGAGAAAACCTGAGCAGCATCTTGGGAGAGGTTCACGGACCCTCAGAGCAACAGATAATGCTGATCAAGGAAAACTATTCAGAAAAATCTCCAGGTGGCCTCAGCTGTGGCCTATCTCGTCCCCTGAGGTGTCGCCTCATCCTCAGCCATGCCTGGGCCACGCCACAACCCTGCATGTGTATACAGCTTCAATGGCTCCAATAACTGAGGCCCCTGGAAGGACCCTACCGTGCTCCTGTACCCTAACCGGCAGCCACTGAGCCCAGCTCTCCCAGCTCTAAGTGCAAACTGAGGCTCCCATCCAAAGAGCCTCTTGGCCACGCCACTTGCCTTACCATAGGAGCCCAGCTGGCTCCAAAGCCCAGGATGATGACCACTGGAAGCACAGGGTCCCCCGAGTCCATGCGCACCCAGCACCTCACAGTGTGGTTTACAGAGATCGGCCCTTTACAGATGTAATTAAAGTGGAACAGAAGTGAGGTCATCTGGATTGGGCAACCAAAGTCCAAAGAGAAGAGCAGGCACCAAAGTAGGCAGCCACTTGGGGCCAAAGTGAGGTCTGAAGCCATGGAGGCCAGGAGGAGGAAGGAGGAGCCTCAGGTGCTGCAGAGCAAGCACCTCCACTTCACACTCGCCTCCAGGATGTGGAGGCACAGGTATCTACTGCCTTAAGCTCCCAGGGCACCATGGGTGGAAGCTGCACACTTCTCACAGTGCATCCACAGGGATGTGCAGCTCAGCTGCTGCGGCTAGACGAGGTACAGGTCTTGAGGCCCAGGGCCCCAGAGCAGCCTGCACAGTGAGTAGGGTGCAGGCCTCAACCACAGCACACCAGCCCAGGCCACATCGGCACCCAACACCCCAGCAGGCCACGTGGAGTTGGGGCCATGCAGAGGTCAGCATTCAGCACAGTGATGGCCCTGCACTCCAGCTTTATGCAGAGTGGCACAGTCCTCATGGGCTCCTTTCCAGCTGCTGCACTCCATGGCCGAGGCTACCCCAACAGCAATCCTGGAGGACCAAGAGACAACTGTGGGTCTCAGACACAGTCACTGCAGTAAACTCCAGCAGTACGGTGACAGCCACCACCTGCAGGGCCTTGGGAATACAGGGAGGCCTCCAAGCATGCTGGCCACAGTTCCACCAAATGTACTTAGCCATGGCATCCTGCAGATGCATGTGCACCTTAGTGTCCTCCTCCCCAGTTAAAAACACTGAGGCCAGGCAGCATGCAGAGAGACAGCCGGGAGCTGGGAGAGACAGCAGCGGACCATGGACTGGCTGGGTGCCATGGCTGGGGTGGGGCCATGCAGGAGTCTGGGGCCCCACAATCCCTAGAACCCTGGTGCTGAAAGCTGTTCCTTGACCATCCCACAGGTGCCAGTGCATGACTGGGCCTGAGGGCGCTCCAGGTCCTTTCTTAGGCAGCTTCTGGGCTCAAGCCAGTACTGGTGCCCTCAAAGGGCAGAGGGTGGCTATGGCAGGGCTGCTCCCAGAGATGGTAGGGCACAGGATGGCTGAGGACATGCCTTCTTAGGAGATGGGGGATCAGCCGCAGAGAGGCTCTTGCTGTTTAACTTGTGGCCAGAGCCCAGCAACTTCATGCAGCCAGCCACAGTGGCTGAGCCCCTTTCCTCTGCTCAGCGGGAGGCATCCTGCTGGCAGCACAGATACTGGGACGCTGGGCAGTGGACAAGTGGGGGCCTGTGAGAGAAACGCTGTCCAAGTCCTTTGCTCTGCCTGGCCCATGCTGGCCTCTGCCAGGTCACTTGTCACACTCCTCCCCATGTGAAACTGAAGCTTCATTTGCATTTCCCAGGGGCGAAACCACACCACACACCTTGTTACCTACGTGTTGGTGATGGCAGACATGATTTAAAGTGGCAAAAAGACTTGGTTCTCAGGGCATTGCTACAGTAGCATGGTGTTCTGGGGTCTCCCAGTCAAGCTCCTGACAGCACTTGCAGCCCCTACTTCCTGGTCATAAGCAGGTCACCGTGGCCAAGACGGAGCAGAGGACAACCATGCTTGCTGGAGTAGGACTCCTCACTCACAGCTTCCCTCCCAGGATTCAGCCTCCTGGTCCCTCACTCCATCCTCTGCCCCTGCCCACCCCATGACCAGCTCCACTGCAGGCTTTCCAGCTGGGCCTCCTGCACCAGCCCTAGAATACCCACCCCTCCAGACAGCCAGGGAAGCTGCACCCTCAGTGACCCGAGCCCCCTTGTCTCCAGCTTTGCCAGCAGTGAGTACCAGGATGCCCTCAGCAGGATCAAACTGGTCGTCCAGCAGCACCAGGACTCCTTGGTCCCTGGACAGCCACAGCTCAACATGTGTAACCAGGCGGTCATGGTGAGCAGCATGCGTGTGGGCCACGGCTGTGCTCCATGTGCCATGGGGCACCACGGCATTCGACGCAGCCCTTGGGCCATGGCTTACTGGAGCCAAGTGCCTCGGAAGGGCTGTCCTGTCCTGTGCACGCGTGCCTCTGGGTGCAAGGCAGGCCTATTCCCCTCCTCCTCTTTCAGGACGTTGGCAGGGTGGGAGGAGGCTTCCTCAGCCCTCTTGCAGCTGTAGGATGAGCCCAAACCTTAAGGGATGCAGGGCAGGGAAGGGTAGGCCTGGGAGGCCACCTGAGTTTGCTGCTGCAGAGCAGCCCTCCAGCCCTGGGCTCAGCCTGGCTGTCCTCATTTCCCTGCCCCTCCCCAGGGGGGACACCCTGTCTCAAGAACCCCCAATTCCTGCCGAGGTATAGATGCAGGTAGTCCCTGCACTAGAGCCAATGGATGGGGAGGGCCTCGCTGCCTCGGTGGAGACAGGCATCTGAAACCCACAGCCAAGACCAGAGACAGCCAAAGTGACTCAGCTTGGCTTGAATTTCGTTTCCTAGAACTGGGCACCCCCAGGCTGTGAAAAGCTGGGCAAGTGCCTGCCGCCTCCAGAGTCGGTCCTGAAGAAGTGTTCCTGGTCCCATTAGCACCTTCTTGGACCCAAGCCAGACCCCAGGAGCTCCCTGCCAGTGCCTGAGGGAACAAAGCATCCCAGCCACTCTGGCCTGCTAGTGACCAGGTGGAGGGGACCTGTGACCAGCAGCAGGGCCTGCCAACCACACCTGGCCCACGGCCTGGATGGCCCAGTGGTTCCTGCACCTCCTCAGGCGGGGGATTGAAGGCCGAAGTTGCCAGTTACGTGCCTAGCCCAGAGTACTATGGGAGGGGTGCTGCGTACACAGTCATCAGGGCTGTGGAGGTGGGGGACAGGTCATCTGCGAGCCTGAGGGCCAGAGCCTAGCACACGCGGCCTGCCTGCTCCCAGAGGTGTGTGGCAGTGCGTGTCCATCTACCAGGACTGACCTACCATCGCTGGACTTTGCGCAACTGGGGAAATGACAAGAAATAAAGGAACTAGTGGCACATCAGCTGTGTAGTTGTGGTTTTTAAGTGGCACGGTGCTTGAGGACCTCCTGGCAGCCAGAATCGTTGCCCCGCCCTACGCAGTCCCCTTGAGCTGCATCACTCCCTGCGCCCCCGGCTGCTGATGCGGAAGGAACGGGCGTGGCCAGCGCAAGAAACAGACTGCTAGAGCGCCACGCAAATTTGCACCGGCCAACAGCCGAAGTGCAGTCTACCCTGGCCCCGCCCTCGCCCCAGGCCCCGCCCCACTGGACCCGACCCCGCCCTCGCTCCAGGCTCCGCCCTCCCCGACCCTTGCCCAGGCCGCTCACACACGCCGTCATGGCGGATTCCGAGCTGCAGCTGGTCTCCCGGCGCATCCGCAGCTTCCCCGACTTCCCCATCCCCGGCGTGAACTTTAGGTGTGGACGCGGCCTGCACCGCGGTGCCGCTCGAGCGGTGGCTCTAGGCTCTGCGCGGACTCCGGCGGGCTGCACTCCCGGCCAGCCCGAGTCACCAGCCTGTCTTTGTGCAGGGACATCTCGCCCCTCCTGAAGGACCCCGAATCCTTCCGCACCAGCATCCGCCTGCTGGCCGGCCACCTGAAGACAGCGCACGGCGGCAAGATCGACTACATCGCAGGCCAGTGCCCTTCCTCCCCGCCGTGTCCACCCCACTCCTCCGTGCCCGTCCCCTCGTTGCGCCCCCCCCCCCCCGCCGCTCCTTCCTGGAGTCCTCAGCGAATCGGTGACCCTTACCCCACCTCCGACCTCTGATCTCCTACCTCTGGCGTCTGGTCTCCCTCTTCCTGCTGGGGCTGGCCCTGCCCATGCCCGAATGCCCTGGTCAGCTCTTCTTCCGACTGTCGAGGGTGTTGGCCTGGTACTGCAGGGCAGGTTCTGTGGGCTTCGCGGTGCTTGGGGCAAGGCTTTGGACCACTGAGGGTCTGGGAGGCCTGGATGGATTGTAGGGCTAGACTGCTCCCCCACTCCCTCTGAGAAAGGCGTGCTGGTCCGAGGCCCCCTGCAGACTTCTAGGTTCCTGGCTGCACTGCCCAGAGCTGGCCTGACCCCTTTCAGGGTCTTTCCCTGGGCCACCCTTCCGCCCTCCCCACTGTCTTCCTATTCCCCTTGTCCAAGCATACTAAGCTGTGGTCTAGGCCCGGGACCCAAGGATCTCTGAGAGAGAGATCCTTGAGGCTGTGCGCACGGTGGGGAGCCTCCTGCCCCACATTGGAGTTAGCACCCAGGAGGAAGCAAGGAAGAGGAGGTGTCTCTGTCCCAGCCTGGCCAGGCTCACTGCCCCAAGGGAACCACTGCTGTGCGGGGCCCTCCCCCACCCTTCTTCCAGCCAGACCTCCCATGAAATCGGCTGTGTGAGGTGCACCCAGCAAGCCCACTGTAGCCCTGTCCACTCTGGAGATGGCCAGGCTGCCTCGGCCTCCACTTTGACAGGGACACCCGAGCAAGCACTGCAGCAGGAGTGGCGGGGGTGTCTGTGCACTGCTGTCCACTGTGGGCCTGTGCTGTCAGAGGTCGGGTGACTTCAGGTGACTTACCGCCACTTACAGTCTCAGTTCACTGGATCCACTGGGCCCCAAGGTGGACAACACTGGGTGCCCCTTGTCACTGTGGTGGCTGTCTGCTCCTCCAGCCTGGCCTATTCATGCTGCTATGCCACCAGCCACAGCCCAACGCCCCCCTCCTCAACCCCCCAGGCCTGGACTCCAGAGGCTTCCTGTTTGGCCCCTCACTGGCCCAAGAGCTGGGCCTGGGCTGTGTGCTCATCCGGAAGCGTGGGAAGCTACCCGGCCCCACTGTGTCCACCTCCTATGCACTGGAATACGGGAAGGTGAGTGGACAGGCGAGGCCACCAGAGGAGGACAGGGCCAGGGGCCCTCAGCCCCTGGAGCATCTGGGACCGACAAGTGGGGCAGCTGTGGTTGCAGCAAACTTGGAAGCTTAGATTTCCACACCAATCAGGTGTCAGGGGGGATTAGAGCCAGGCCCACGGAGGGCTGCATTCAGCACCCAGGCTCTACAGCATTCATTTCCTGTCTGCAGGCTGAGCTGGAGATCCAGAAAGATGCCCTGGAGCCCGGCCAGAAGGTAGTCGTGGTGGATGACCTGCTGGCCACTGGTGGTGAGTGCTTCTGGGACAGCTGTGGGCCTGGGAGGGGTCACAGCGCTGGGGCAGGAGGCTGCGGGTGCCTCCCTGTCTCACCAACCTCCCTGCCCCCACCCAGGAACCATGTGCGCAGCCTGTGAGCTCCTGGGCCAGCTGGGGGCCGAGGTGCTGGAATGCGTGACCCTGGTGGAGCTGACCTCACTCAAGGGCCGGGAGAAGCTGGGGCCAGTCCCCTTCTTCTCCCTGCTGCAGTATGAGTGACACCATCTTCAGCTGGACAAGAAACGGTTCACCTTGTGCCTTACCTGTAGGGGCCAATGGCTGCAGCTCTGTCATTTCCACCCATTGAAGAAAGAGATCCTTGGTAGAGTGACCAGTGTCTGCAGCCTCCTGTGGGCTCTGCCAAATATCACAGCCTGACAGAATCAGGAGACAGCTTTGCTAACCCACCCGCTTGCTATTACCCTCTGGTACCATAGCGTAGACCCAGATGCTAACAGAGCTTGGCTTTCCTGATGGGAGCCCCAGCCAGGACAGCTCCTGGCAGGGCAGTGCTCTGCACCTGTTTCGTGCCTGTGCCTCCTGGGTGGACAGGACAGGCTGGGAGCCCATTCCACAGGGGAGCAGATGGGATGGGACTCGCAGCCGTGTGGTCTGTGTCACTTGGTCTCCCGTTGCAGCCTAACAAGTGATTGCACTTGGTGGTCTGTCTGGCAGGCCAGTTCCTCCTGCAGAGCCTGTGTTCCTGCCCAATCTGAGGGTCCCCTGAGATCTTTGACACCAGGCCACCTGGGTAATCCAGTGTTATCGTCGTCTCAACTCAGCACTGCCCCACAGCCCACATACAGGATGCTACTCCAGTTTTGTGTCTACGTGTCCCCCCAAAGCCTCACAGGTTCAGATGGAAGCCTTTTCAGAGGCAGCTGGTCTACAGTGTGGCTGCCTCGTGGTGCAATGCTGGGATGAAGGGTGGGGGATCCCTGGCTGTCTGCCGCCTCAAGTGGCACCACCCCAGTCCCAGTAGACGACATACAACACAAGGGGCAGAAAGGCTTGCCTCCTTCCCTTGTTGCCTTGCTGACTTCCACTGCCATGAACCACCCACTCGTGGCCTGGAACTTCTCTGAACTGTAAGCCAAATAAACCTTACCTCCTTCGACTTTGGGCATTTTGTCTCAGCGAGAAAAAGACACAGGATCTGGTCTCCACTATAGCAGTAACAGCACTCCAAAGCAGTGGTCTTGGGAACAAAACTTTATTTATGACTCGGGCTTTATTTTATAAAAAGCCGGTAAGATGAGAAAACAGGTTCTTCTTGCAAGGCTGCAGGTAACTTGAAGTTTAAAAGTTAAATTAGAAGTGAACAAACCAGACCCACAGTGGATCCTACTCTAATGCTGTTTAAAAAATCTAAAGTTTAAGTTTTACAGGCTATTTTAGCATAAAACCTAGAAAATCAGTTAGCATCGTTCTAGAGGAGAGTTGCTTCATGCTGCCACCAGAACCTCGTCTTTTGTCCAGCCAGCATGTTCAGAGGCCACCGCCTGCTGGCAGGGCATTTGTCACAGGAAGAGATCTGAGTGCAGTGGGGCAGGAGCTCTGGGTATTCTCTGATCTCAGCTGAACTCAGCCTGGCCTTGGGCCGGACCTAGAATAGGCCCTGCAAGCATGGTCCCCCACCAAGAGATCACAGTTCACAGGCTACAGCATCAGGACGTGGATGGGGCAGCACTGCCAACCACTCTGCCAGCCCTGCACACCACTTCCTGTGCAGCCCGCCAGGTACTGGGCCCCTTCCCTGCCTGGGGCAGTGCCCAAGGACTACAGAGCAGTCGGGCAGCAGACAGAGCCACACAGGGACAAATGCAACACTAACACACTGCATGAGACCCAGGAGTCCACGCTGGCAGGAAGCACAGGCTGTGCTACCTGTGGCCCTCAGGGATGGGGACATCTAGTGATAGGAGTGAAAGAAGCGCCCTGGGTGCTGGCATCCACCTGTGACGGTCAGCTCACTGCCCCTCCTCAGTGCGGGCCTGTCGGGCCAGCCGTGCGGTGACGCTGGCCAGGTCGGCGGCCTTGTCCAGCTTGATGTAAGTGTCAGTGCGGATGCGGTGCAGACTGAGCCAGTCAGGCAGCAGCTCAGCGAGCAGCAGCAGGTGCTTCTCCATCTCCCCTGCAGCGGCGGGAGAGTGGGAATGAGTTGCATAGACCCTGGCCCAGCCTACTGTGTGCACCACTTCAAGGGGCCTGGGCGTCCCCAGGCAGTGCCCTTGAGAAAGGGGACAGACGCAAGGGACTCAGCTGAGTCCAAACACCCGAAGCAGGGTCCCCAGCCCTAAAAGCCTCAAGCAGGCCTGGTGAGAGCAGCACACACTAAGGTCAGGATTCTGTACCAAGGACCACAGGGACAATGGGCTCATGAGGCCACGAGGAAGCCATTCAGGGAAGCTGCAGAGCTAGAAGGAGCTCAGGGTATCGAGGCCACAGAGCCCAAACGTGAAGCCCATGGGCATCAGGTGAACAGACCGAGTCCACGCAGGGCACAGGGCTATGCCCACCCAGGACTCCACCCTGACCTGCACATACCCAGGCTCAGCGAGGCTCGGCAGCTGCCCACCATCCTGGCGCAGGCCACTTCCATGGTGAGTGCAGGCCTGCGCTCAGCCACAAAGATGCCACGCAGCACACGTGCCAGCTCAGGCAGCCGCTCTAGCCGCTGCAGCCGCAGCTCAAGTTCTGGTCGCCGTGTCATCTGTGCTAGCTGCTTCTGGGCCTCTTTGGCACGGATCTGCAGCAGGCAAGGGGAGGTCAGTAGCAGTGGTCACCGTTAGCACCCACCCGTCCCTGTCCCTGTGGACTCACCCGCTCCAGCAGGGCCTGGGACACGCCTTTCAGCGTGCTGGGAGAGATGGTGGGTGGACTGGCAGGGGTGGCTGGCAGTGTCTGGCTGGGGGACCCAGGGCTGCTCGGCTCTGCTGCACACACAGCAGCATGCCTCAAGGCCTTTTCCATCTGCAGAGGGACAGACATAGAAGTCACAGTGCTGCACAGCAGCCTTGGCTGTGCCCCAGCCCCACCCGGCTCTCCAGGCCCAGTGCTCAGCACAGTGCTCAGGGAAAGCCCCTGGGGGACGCAGAATTGGGGTGGGGGGACAGCTAGTGAGCAAGGATCCGTCCCTCTCTGGGCTACGGACCCAGAAGGAGCCAGGTGTGGCGTCTGGTCCCCAGGGAGCCACCTCACTCCCCCAGAAGAAAGGGGTGGGGTCAGGGTCAGGCCAATCTCACCCTGGGCGACATCAGGCTGCGGGCACGGGCCAGCACCTCCTGGGCAGTGGTGAGCTTCTCCGTGGTGGGCGGCTGGGGCAGCTCGGCTGCCTCGATATCGGGCACGTCGTCCACATTGAAGCGCGGGTGCCAGCGTGTCAGCTGGTCCTCAGGCACGGCCATGGGGGGGTTCAGGGAAGCTAGGAAGGCCTATTGGAGAAGCACCAGGGGACCACCTGGGTGACTCTGCCAGGCAAGGGCACACACTGCCTGGCACAGAGGTGGCACTGAGGAAATGCTACCCAATGCTACCCAAGAATGTGAGTCTAGTCCTGAGCTCACCAGCCCACTGTGCAGGGAGGTGGCAGCCCATGTGGCCAGGCGGAACAGGGCCACAAGGGCTGCACAAGGAGCAGAACTGGCAGAGCCAATGTGCTACAGTGCCGGGGCCCAGCCAGCTGCTCACCTTGTGATGTTCCTTGACCCGGTCCACCAGGTTCTGGCTGAAGACCCGCCGCCGCTGCAGCAGCCTGGAGGCTGTGAGCTGGGGGGTGGGGCCGCCGGCCTCTGTGGGGAAGAGTCCAGGCTGAGCCCTGGCCAGGCCCACCCCAGCAACCCCTCCTCAGAACATGTGGGCTCGCAGGTGGGGAAACTGAGGTGAAGGAAAGTGAGCTCCATGGAGCTGAGACCAGACCAGTACTCACCCCCGTCCAGCAGCGGCTCTATGGTGAGCTGATAATCAGACTTCTTGACACTGTCCTTGAAAGTGGGGACATTACGCTCCTGGCGGAAGCAGTAGGACATGGGATACACTGTCTTAATCTGGCCCACATTGTGCTCCTCAAAGCGCCTAGGGCAGGAAACGGGGTCAGAAGAAACCAGGCAGGGCCAGCTGCAGACAGGAGAGCAGGCCGAGCTTCCCCGTAGGACACTCACCTGCGCATCATGTCCTGGACTCCCTGCTTGACCTTGGCAAAGGTCACTGTCTCGGAGCGGTTGTGGAGCATGCCCACGATGGTGTCCATGCTACGGAACATCTCGGCCAGCACCTGGTACTTGTAGGGCAGTACGAGACCCGGCGGGCCAGGCAAGGCCAGAGCATGGAAGCGCTGGTAGGCGGGCACCTTCTCGCCACTGTCAGAGGGAGCCAGTCTCAGAGCAAGCCCCGGCACACACCTCCTTCAGCTCCCAGCAGCAGGGCCTGTGGCTGGGGATGCTCAACCAGGGTCTCAAAAGTACACACCCTTCACAAAACCTTGGGGTGACCAGGCCCAGGGGAAGCAGCCCCAGGGAAGGGGCCCAGAGGCACCCCTGCCTCAGGAATGACAACCCTTAGTCAGAGGAAGGATGTGCACGAGTGCCCTGGCCGGGCCATGCCTCCCACCAGCCTGGTCTCCACTGGGTCCTTGGCCAGCAGCTCAGGACTCACCATGGCTGCTCTGCAGGGGCTGTGGCCTCCGGAGAGCTGGGCTCCTCAGCAACCTCCTGAGCCCGGTCCTTCAGTGCCTGGACGCATGCACCCAGCTCACGCGCCCGCTGGAGGCATGCCTGAAGCTCAGACACAGTGTCCTTTGAGGGCACCTGAGGACAGAGGGCATGTCAGGCCAGCAGCCCTGCCATCTTCCCGCCCCACTTGCCCTGGTCCAGTCTCCTCCTCACCTTGTCTGGTGGGGCTGCACAGACAGACCGCCGAGCTGCAGGGGCAGGGGCAGGGGCAGAGATTTTCTTGACCTTCTTGGGCAGCAAATGACAGGCAGGAGGGCTGGGGGGTGTGGGGGAACCAGGACAGGAATCCTGCTGGGAAGAAGACCGCAGGTGAGCCTGAGAACGCCCAGGACGCACCCGGCCTGCTGAATCGCAGCGTGTCCTCAGCAACCAGCCTGCCACGGAGGCTGGGGGGGGGGGGCCTCCTCCTGGTACAAAGCCCCCTGCTGAAGCCACATCGCCTGCTCATGCCTCTGGTGACCCCCCCCCCAAGACTGATCCCTCGCCTACCCTTCTGGCACTGTGGCTTCTGTCAGCCTGTACTTAATGGCTCGGACCTTCCTGCATCTCCCGACCTCAGGAGCCGCAGCCCAAATCCTCACCACTCCCGCAGCCCCGCGGGCTGGGACCCCCACTGCGCCGCACCAGCGGGGGCCGCCCCGCCGCCTCGGCGCTCCTGCGCCCTGGTCCCAGCACGAAGGCCCCGGTTCCCGCATCCCGGGCTCCTGCTCACCGCGTCCCGCAGCCGCAGTCTCCGGCGCGCGGGCGGCGCGGGCTGCTCAACCCCGGGCGCTACGGCCGGGCGGGCGCGCTTACGACTGCTGCCCGGGGCGAGGGCGGGCGAGGGTCCGGTGGGGCTCGGGGTGCGACAGGCTGCCTTGATCCGCGGAGCCACCGACCCCGGGCGGCGGCACAAGAAAAAGTCGGTGACCCGGCTCTGCGCCATAGCGAGATGAGACTACGCGCGGTTTCGCACAGGTTTCGCGCCGTTTCCTATCCGCCCCGCCCCATCCGGGACGCACCATCCGGCAGTGCGCCCAGGGTAACACTGGCCGCTCCCAGCGCATGCGCCCTAGTGACAGGGCCCCAAAGCCGACCGCACATGCGCAGACCTCGGCCTTCCCGGGCTGCACCACCAGGCCTAAGGCAGGGATGGAAAATGGATCCGTCGGGCGCACGCGCACTGAGCCGCGCATGCGCCGAGAGCCCCGTCCGGGTGGTAGGTGTGCAGCCCTGGGTGGGAGCGCACACGCGGTCATTGCCAGAGCGCGAACGCCGGCCAAGTAGCAGGAATGATCCGGCTACAGGGCTCCCGACCAGGAAGGGTAATGAAACTGCCTCCAGAACAGTCTGAAAAGACAAGGCTTCCAGACCCCCGCGCCAGCCGCCCCCGGAGGAGAAGGGCAGTGCCAAGGGAGCTTCTGCTTCCACCTCGCAGCGTTTTCTGTAAAGGGCATGACTTGTGCTCATCCAGAGCAAAAAGGGAACAAAAATGTCAGCTGGGTGTTGCTGTTGTAGCTTGCAAAATAGCCGCAAGTATGAGAAGCCGGGCGATTGTGACCGCTGGAAAGGGGGGCGGGCCGTTTTATAAAGATCTGTGGGAGCGAGGTGTGCCTCAGTGGTGGAGCTCTTTTCTAGCTTGTGAGAGGCCGGAGATTCAAGGACCGCTTGCTAGAAAGACAAAACCAAAAGACAGTGAAGTGTAAGATTGAATTCGGCGCTTTTAAGGGCTACTGCCTTGTTAAAGTTTCGATGTGTGTTCTGTGTCACCACATAAACCGTGTTTATTAAAACAGGAATACCTGCCGGTGTGGCTCAGAGTGGAATGCTGCTCTAGCGTGGGCGAGAGCCCAGGTTGGAGCCCCAACCTTTCCCCACCCCTAAAAAAAGAAAAAAACAGGAGTTGGCCTGGAAGGAGCATAAAGTTTCTGGGGTGATGGAAATGGCCGTGTTAAGGCCAGCTAGTGTGGATTTATCAAGACTCGAGGGCCTATTAAGAGTTGCATATTTCACTATGTAACTTCATATAAACTCAACTGTAAACAAATACTAAATTCCAATCAGTGAGGCCAGGGATTTAGCTCAGAGGCGTTAAGTGCCTGCCTGGCAAGCGCAAGGTTGTGAATTTGACCCCCAGTACTAGAAAAAACTCCAATGACATGGGTACAGAAGCATGTTTAGAAGTGACTTTTGTCTGATGCTGAAATGCATCAAATTAGATGGATACCCAGGCTTGCAGGCTTGTATTTCCAGCACTTGGGAGGCTGAGGCAGGAAGATTGCCAAGAGTTTGGAGACTAGCCTGGCTTACATAGTTGAGAACTAGTCTCAAAAACAAAACAAACAGAATGGGTAAACAAATATGTGACAAAAGCAATTACCGAATATTAATAATGGTATCCAGGTACTAAGTGTAAGTGCTTAATGTGAAATTCTTTCAATTTGTAAGTTTAAAATCTTCAAGACAATATTTTGAATCAGTGTATTTCTCAACTGTGAGTTGTAGCCAACCTTCAGCAAGACAAAGTTGGCCCAAAAGGTGCCTTTTGGGAAAGGGCAAAGAGCACAGAGCATGGTGACCCCAATGAGAGCCTGATAGGTGTAAGCCGCATTCCCAGCAGACCCTGCAGACCTGGGCTTGCTCTGCTGTTGGTGGAACCCTCTGTGTCTCTTTAGCTGTGGATGAACACTGCGTTATTCCTACTCAGATGGAAATTGGCTTTTCTGAAAGGCTGCCAAAAGTGATCGGAGGGTCATGGAGGCAGGTGCTCCAAATGTGGACTGTAAAGAGCTGCTGGGTGCTGTGGCACATACTATGGCCCCAGCCCTCGGGAGGCTGAGGCCAGGGGATCACCACCACAAGTTTGAGGCTAGTCTGGGTTCCATAGTAAGTGAGACCCTGTCTCAAAAAAAAGATTGCAGGGCTATTGTGGAGCATATGGAATAGAAACAGTCACTCCATAGAGGACCTTGGACATCTTTTGGCTGGTGGGAGTTTTCTCTCCCCATGACCTGGTGGCCCCCTACTCCTGCTTCACATTTGTGAAATCAGGCAGAGACAGCCAGACCTAATCGCAAGCAGCCCTTCAGCATCTGGCTCCTGGCCTGCACCGTTGGCCAGCCCCTGACTTACAGAGATAAGCTGGCCAGGGGCCTCGGAATCCAGGACGCCAGCAGCTTCTCATTGGACCCCCTCCAGCTGGAGCAGAGTGCTGCCCTGGGCTCCCAGTGCTGTGCATGAAGTGCCTTAGGCACAGCTCTGCTAGCCACTGCTGCTGCACGAGCCTAGGCCCCCAGAGAGGGCAGGAGGGCTGCCGTTGCTCTTGCAGACCTGGGCCCACACAACAAGATGCAGAGAGCCCTGAGAAGCTCAGATGAACTGGGTCTGTGGCCCATCCACAGGGGCCTGCAGAATCCAAAACAAGACTAAGATGCATCTGGCCATTGTGGGGTTTGGGGTTTAGAAGCAGTGGAAGCCTAGGAGTTAGGGTGTGGCTGGCATTTGCTTCTGAGCAAGCAGGAAGGGGGGCACCTGGTGCCACAGGGCCCCATGGACCTGCCTCAGTGCTCTGGTCTCGTGTTCATCCTGAGGGCTCAGGATGCAGCCACACAAACTGCTGTGTCTGTAATGTCCACCCTAGAGCTTAGGTCTTTTGGGGTGACTTTAGCTTTGGAGACGCCTCAGAAAACTGCCTTGTTCTGCCACAGCGGTGGGGTCCTGAGGCCACTTCCCCTGTCACAGCTGATTGGGCAAGAGGTGCACAGCCCATCAGGTGCTGTTCTGGGGCCCACACCCCTAGCATGGCCACCTGTGTGTGTGGAGAGAGTGAACAGCAATGAGCATGTGGCCCGGAGACAGACGGAAACTGCCAGCCCCAGCCATTGTAAGTCGGCTCCCACTTGGGTTCTTGGGACACCTGGCCCCTCTTCGTGGTGCTCTAGAGGTTTATGAAGTGACTGATTGTTTCCCCGTACGTTTGCCTCTTTTGCTTAAACTGCCTCTGGCTATTTTTTCTTCTAACTTAAGTACCCGTGATTAAAGCATGGTCACCAAGGTAAATCCACACAAGGCCACACTAATGGAAATACAGAGCCTCGAGGATGAAAGCCCTTTGCTGGTCCAGGTCCCACAGGGCCCCCTTGGCTGTGGATGTGAAATGCCAGGAGGATGTGGTCTGGCTGGTGTCCTCCAGGGGAGACCCAATGGCAGAGGGCCAAGAATCCAGGTCTATGGGGCTGGGGATGTGGTTCAGTGGTACAGGGATTCCCTAGCATTAAGGACCTGGGTTCAGTCTCCAGCACTGCCAAGAAGCCACGTCTGTGGATTGTGCCCTGCAGAAACTCAAGAGTACTTACGAGTGCTCTCCAGGTGATTGGCTTCTTAGGGCCAATTACAGGCCAGGGCATTGAGAGCTAGCTGTTCACCAGGCTGAGAACAGGACAGCCACCACTGTCACTGCCATAATCACCATCATTGGCATCATCACTGTCATCACAATCACCACGGCCACCATCACCACCACCACCATCGGCATGGCCACCACCACCACCATCACCATGGCCACCATTACCACTGTCACCACCATCTTACCTACACTCAAGTAGACAGAGTTGCCAGACAGGTCCTGAGTTGGGCCCACAGCTCTGCCCTGCCCTTGCCCAACTCCCCTGAGCCCAGCATGGTCCCCCAGTCTCCTGGCCCACTGCTGCTCAGTACGGAGTATGAACGGCTCCCAGTCACTCCCCGTCTGCTGCATCCTGGTGCTGACCACCACGCTGTGTCTGCCAGGCACCACAGTGTGGGAGCCCAGTGTGCAACTGCTGGAAAAGAATCAGATGCTGCCAGCATCCTGTTCCTGGGGCTGGATGCCTTCTCAGCCTCCCTCAGAGCAAACCTCTCAGTCCCCAGTGTGGGCAAAGAAGAGGCCAAGACTCGAGGGGCAGAGCTGGGGAGTCCAGGTTGCAGCCCCACTTCTCCCCCAGTCAGCTGCTCCTCCAAGAGGGCCCAGGCCTGTCAATGGCCCGCAGCCCAAGGGAGCCCTCAGGGCCTTGGCTCTGACACCAGCCCATGGCCAAGTCTGGAGGCAGCTTTCGCCGTGGGGAAGGGGTCTGAGTCTCAGCCAGGATCCATCTGCACTTGGCTCCACATCCGCCAGACAACCTTGGAGTCCTCTGCTGATGGGCACAGTGTGGCGATGGAGAAGCTGCCGCCACTGCCTGAGGAGTGAGCTGGCCACCTCCTCTCCTCCCAAGCCTCCGTCCCTTATCTGTAGCGGGCATCCACCCCGCCTGCTCACAGGCCTGAGAGGACGCCCAGCAGTGTGTCGGTGTCTCTGTGGACCAGCATGCTCCCTGTCACACCTCGCTCAGAGTCCAGCCTCTCTCAGTCTCAAGGGCACACAGTCTGGCCATGTCCAGCAGTGACATTCAAGATGGAGGCTGCTAGGAAAAGAATCAGGTGTAACCATTTTAATTGTATTAATTTTACCTGTTACAAGGCTCTTCATACATAATCAGTCAAAATTCATTGTGATGTTTACATTTTTCCTCAACATTATCTTCATAATTACCACTGTTTCCCCCACCATCTCCACACCATCACCTCATCGCCACCATCTCAGTCTCCACCGTCGTCTCCATCTCCGTCTCCACAATCGCTCGTCACTAAGTCCTTGAGATCTAGTGTGTATTTTGCACAGAGCACACATTTCAATCTGAAAGATGTGATAGTTTTATGGAAATACTTAGTTCTTGATTTCATGTCATAAAATTTACAGTTGAAAAAGTAGATTCACATACCTCAATTCTAAAAATAGCAAAATGCTTTTCAAGATGGAACAGAGTGCTTAAAATTCATGAAAGGTGAATAGAATTGCAAGTCCATTTTCCAGCTGGTTGGGTGCTCAGTGGCCACAAGACAGAGGTCCACTTGGACAGGGAGCCAGTCCTAGTGCTGGGTCTGCACACGGGCAGGAGGGAGGGCGGGCAGTCGGGGGCAGGTCCCTTCGGGTGACCTGGTGCTGTCAATGGGGAATGGGCGGAGCCGGAAACCCTGACCCAGGTCCCCTTCTGGGGCTCAGGGGTCAGCCTGGTACCCACTGTGCTGGGGTGGCCAGTGTGCAGCGTCCAGGCTGAGCCACAGGTGCAGCCAGGAAGCCTCCTGGGCTAGAGACCCCCTGCCACACAGCAAGGGCACACAGCCACAGTGGCTCCGGCCCTTGGCTGAAGGAGGGTTTGCGTCATTGGCTTTGTAGGTATGGGCTGGGGTCAGGACTCCTATGTGGGTCCCCTGCTTGGGCCACCAAGGCAATGGTGGCCTCCCATCTGGGCTGGCTGCCCTCGTGCCTCCTTGGTCAGGTCCTTGAATGAGTGACGAGGACTCTTGGAGAGAGCCTGAAACGTGCGTGGGACTTGGAAGCCTGGCGCTGTTCCTCAAACTGGTGCGTCCCAGTGGCAAGGCCACAGCAGACAGTGACCCAACCCAGGGCGCCTCCACTACCCCCACCCTGGCAGGTGTCTCCCTCCATCACGTCCCCAGATGGCAGTCCAGGGCCCTGACTGCCCTTGTGTTGCCCTCCTGGGATGGCTCTGAAGGTCTGTGCCTACCCAGAGCCCAGCTGACACCCAGAGGATAGGAGAACTCAGACCATCGAGACCATAACCCCAGTGCTAACTGAGCAATGTGCCGGGAGCCCAGGCACAGGGGCTTGGAGAGAATGATTTGGGGTAAAGAGGCTGCTACCCCTTCTTGGAAGGAGCTGTGAGCCAGACACGCACTCACCTATAACCCCAGCTACCTCAGAGGTCAGGGTGTTGGGTGGGGGTGCAAGTTTGGGGTCACAAGTTTGCAGCTTGGTGAATGCTTGCCTCAAAATAAAAAAGAAAGCCCAGGGAGGCGCCCGACTGGTCACAGTCAGGACCTGGAGAAGCATGGGATTTGGCCACTGAGGTCTGGGGGTAGCACACAGAGGGATGGGCACCTGGGCTTGGGCAGGGAGAGTCATGCTGCAGGGAGAGGCCCTGCAAGGTCTCTGTAGCTTGTGGGACATTCTGGTCACCTCAGGAGCCCACAAGAGGCGAGACCAGGCTTTTTCGAACCTCACCGCTGCTGAGTGGGGGTACCAGGCGACCAGACGGTGACCACAGCCATCACTGTGTCCAGCCCAGCCCCAGCTCAGAGGTGGCCTGCAGAGGTCACATGCAGGTCCTACACCACCTATGCCTGGCTAGCACCTCGAGACTCAGCGCCTCCCAACAAGGCTTCACCATGGTGACAAGGTGGTGCAGGAAGCCACTGGTGGTCGGAACCGGGCAGGGAGGACATGCTCGGTGCCCAGCAAAGATGGACCAGAGGCAGGGCTCTAGGAGCTGGGAGTGAGAGAGGGGAGCAGCTAGACAGGCAGGAAGGAGACTTGAGATTTCCCTGACCGAGGCATCTGTGCCCAAGTTCCCAGCCAAAATCCCTCTGATGTTAACTGGCTTCCCTGAGAAAATAAGCACAGGAACCTGAGCCTGACACAGAGCCACAGCCTGAGGGGATTCCAAGAATGCTTAAATTACCCACCAAACCCCACCGGGCCCACACCTGTCATCCGAAATACGGCCATTCTCTCTCTCACCTCCTACTTACCCATCCTCAAAATTATTATCATTTTTGGTTTTTTGTTGTTTTTGAGAGTGTCTCAATATGTAGTTCATATTGAATACTTAGGGACCTCTCCCGAGGGCCCTTTGTAAAAGCCTCGTGGTCCCCACCCTGAGTTCAGGCTGGCTCTGAGTCCCAGCGATCCTCCTGTCTCAGCCTCCTGAGAGCTGCAGGTACAGGTGTTTGCCACCAGTCCGGGAAATTATTTTTTTTTGCAATAGGAGTCAGGAACCTGCAGATTGATCCTGTGGGTCGGTTGGGTTGGGAACCGCCTAGGACACAGTGACCAGAGGAGCGAGGAAGCCGAGTGTGGTCGCACCGGCATCCTTGGGGGTGACCAAGGGACAAGTGTGGAAAGGGGTCTGAGATGGCCCCACAGTTCCACGAGGCTGGGGTGGGACAGTAGCTGCACTACGGGACTCAACAAGGAGAAGGGCGAGAACTTGTGGCTGGAGGGCCTCGGCCAAATGGGCACCCACGCCCAGGAGGGTGCACGGCAGGTGGGAGGGGGTGGAGCAGGGAGGTGGGGGCAGGGCAGGAGGCTGAGGCCCTGGCTCCCCGCAGCAGGAGGCACCCGCGGGGCCCTCAGCAGCTAGGTAGCCAGGCCAGCTGGGGCCCTCGGTCCGAGGTTTTTTCCTTGATAAGGACAAACTCCACCTACCCAGCCCAGCCTGCCCAGGCGAGGAGGGGCCAGTGGCCGGGGCAGCCAGGGCAGATGAGACAGTGTGTTCTAGGGGAGCAGCTGGACGGGTCTGCTCCTCCTCCCATCCCACCTGGACCATAAACGTGCTTTGCCACTGCCGCCTCAACCCCGGGGCCAGGTGGCTGCAGTGAGCAAGGGGCACTTCGGGGGTGGTCGCTGTGGCCCCGAGTCTGTTATGCCTGGTGGGTAAAGTTGAGCTCTGCTCGACCCCCACACTTCTGTGGGTGCACCCAGTGGTGGGTTTGCCCTGGGGTGCATCTGAGCTGGAACCCCAGGAGCCCCAGACCTGGGTCCTTGTCGGATTCATCCCAGAGAGATGTTCCTGATGTCTTAGTGTTGCAGCTCAGGGTGGGGACCACGCAGCTTTTACAAAGGGCCCTCGAGAGGGGTCCCCAAGTGTTCAAGAACAAGGAGGGAGCCCGGTGTACTGGCACATGCTTGTGATTCCAGTATGCTGGAAGGCTGAGGCAGGAGGATTGCAAGTTCAAGCCCAGCCTGGGCAACTTAATGGTTTAGTGAGACCCTGCCTCAAAATAAAAATAAAATAAAACAAAACAAAATACAGTTGGAGGTGGAGCTCAGCCGTGCCATCCCAAAATAAATAAGTAGGTGAGGCACTGGCACAGGCTCACAGTGCCCAGACCGGGAGGCAGGGCATGGCTGCCTGGGATCCCGGATGGAGTCCGCTGAGCAGCAGCAGAAGGGTGGGCTCCTGGGCGGGCCTGGGTGCCTGGTCATTCTTCTCTTGACCAGGAACAAGAGGAGGACAACGGGCTCCAGGTCTCTTCAAACGGCTTAGCAGAAGTTCATCACGCAACTGGACCACTTTCCATGTCCACCCCCAGCCATGCACACAGGGAGGCTGGGGACAGGGAAGACTGTGCCCCCACGCTGCTAGGTTCCTCTCTGACCAGTTCTGGGCGCTTGCGGCAGACCTTGAAGCCAGGAAGGTGGCTGGGCAGAGGCTCCCAGCAGAGAGGCAGCCATTGCAGGAAGCCAGGTTTTCTGGGTAGAAACATTGTACCTCGGGGCAGCCAGGCTTGATTCTCTGTAGTGCTCAGCACTGTCCAGCAGGATACACTTACTTATCTGACTGCTCTCCTGGAGGAGAGCTTGCATCCCTGGTCTCTAACAATCGGCCTCGAAGAACATCAGCAGGGAGGCCTGCGACTTGCTTCTCGCTTCTCGGTGAACACTTTGGAAGACAGTCGCTGCTCTCGCCCGGGAGGGAGCTGGCCAGTGCTGGAACCCAGATTTCCCACGAAGGTCTGTGTTTCTGGCTGTCCGGTAAAGCTGGCGGGTCAGTCAGTCGGCCACCTTCCTTCTCTGAGGGCCTTGCAGCCCCTGTGCCAGCCTCCCTCCCTCCTTCTTGCCTGCCTGCGGCAGAGTCTGGCGTCCTGGGCTGAGGGCAGCCCCTCCCCTTCCTGCCCACTTCAAGGGTGGATGGAGCCAAACTTCGGTGGTCCAGGTTGGGCAGACTCAGACCTGGCCTCTCCACTGGTGGGGACAGCAGGTGCTGGGCTGGGGCTGCGGTCACCATCGTCCTAGGCAAAAGGATCACGCCCAAGCCCCAGCTCAGACCGCACTGGACTCAGCAGGCTGGCGGCTCAGCCGTCCAGCATCCCCCGCCCTAACCACCAGGCCTGGCCACCGCTGCCGCTGTCTCGCTGGCGGGAGCCCCATGCCACCCTCCGTCCCCAGGCGGCGCTGCGGCCTCGCAGCTCGAGATCAAAGCGAAAGTCGCTCGAGCCACGCGGGGTGCAGTTGCGCGTGGGTGCAGCGGGGTGAGCGGCCCTGGGAGTCTGTGTCCATGTCCCCATCTGCCGTCTGCGCACCCAGGGTGCAGGGCCGAAACCACGGTCCTCTCGGCCAGGGCCAGGCCGTCGGGGCCGGCGCCCGGCGGGACGGGCAGGGGGGGCCGGCGCCGGCCGTGGGGAGCGCGGGGCGGGACCGGGAGGGCGGGGGCCGGGCTTATAAAGCCCGCGGGCAGCGGGCGGGAGCGCGGAGCCAAAGTGCGCCCGGCCGGCCCTGGACGGGAGCGGGAGCCAGAGGAGGTCGAGGAGGCGGAGGAGGAGCCGCAGGAGGAGGCGTCCGGCCGCGGCCCGCTGCCCCACGTGCGCCCCGCCGTCCCGCGCCATGGCGCGCAGGGCCCCGAGCGCCCGCGCGTCCCCGTAGCCGGCGGCACCCTCGGCCCCATGGAGCCGCACGTGCTCGGCGCCGTGCTCTACTGGCTGCTGCTGCCCTGCTCGCTGCTGGCCGGTGAGTGAGGCCGGCCCCGTCCGCACCGTCCCGCCCGGGCGCGCGCGGGGTCCGGGCGCGCATTCCAACGCGGGGGCGCGGGCGGGGCGTGCGCGCCGGGGAGGGCCGCGGTGGAGAAGGGAGCGCCGATCTCTTTCCTCTTTCGCGTTGAGGAAAAAAAAAGTGCAAACTTGCATCATGACTTCCTGACCGATCTGGGAGAAAAGGCGGCTTCCTGCCTGGAGCCGTTTAATTTGGAGTTCTCCTAGCAGAACTCACGTCCTGCCCTGGGCGCAACCCAGGCCTCCACAGGCCGAGTGGGTGGCAGCCCCTTGCTTTGGAAAAGCAGTCAGGGTTCCTCCTCCTCCTTCTGTCCTACTTGGACCCGCTCCAAGGGGCTGTGCAGGCCTGTGCCCTGGCCCTTGGCAGGGGGCACCGCCAGGGCCTCGGGAACTGGGAACCCCAGCCCTGGCCAGCAAAGCTTCGAACCCCGTTCTGTCTGCCTCCAGTGCCGGGCATAGCCTCGGAGACCTCCCTCCGGCCCCGAGCAGCCAGCGCCCTCCACATGTGGCTGAAGACGTGGGGAAGCGTGGTTTCCCCGGACGGTGTGGAAATCGCAGTCTGAGGTGGGGGTGGCTGTGGGGACCTCCTTTCTCCCCTCCAGGGCCCTCCCTGCTCTGAATTCCCAGATTGTGGGGAGCAGCCTGGGCCTCGCTGTGGCCTCTGACAGATTTTGGCTCATTTGCAGTGAGACATGGGGAAAATTTTCAAGGCAGGAATCAGGGAAACCACTGAGGTCAGAAAGGAGGGGCTTGGGGGGCATCCTGGTGCCACAGCCCTGGTGGACCGAGCCGCCACACCAGGGCAACGGGCTCACAGGGAGGGCTTGTTTTCCTCACTATGCCCGTGAAAAGGAAAGGGCTGGCCAAAGAGTGGGACAGCCCGCACGGCCGGCCTGCACTCCTCTCTGGGTTGAAGGTTGGGGAGACGCTGAAAGGGGACAGGATGGCAGATTCAGGTGCGGGCTCACCTGCCGGCTGGCAGCTCCAAGTCCAGGGACTGAAGCTCCCGGGCTGGGGTCGTGGACTTTGGCCTTCGCTGGCCTTCCCGAGGGGGCTTCCCTCCGCCTGTCCTCCAGCAGTGTTGACCGGCTGGTAAATGTTTTCACAACACAAAATCTCCTGATATTTTTTCCAGCCATTAAAAGTGTAAAAATCATCCTGAGCATGTGGGTGTCACCAAAACAGGCCGTGAGGCCAGAGCTGGCTGGTGGCCAGCATGTGGGCTGAGGCCCTGGCTTCTGATGCCCCTTCAGGCCTGGCCGGTAGGATACTGGGGACCCCAGATCCCCAGAGGGCTGGAGGTCTCCCAAGTGGTTGGGGTTCACATGCAGGCTGTGTTAGTCACCTAGGAGCCTTCAGAAAACACCGATGACTAACTCCTGTGCCTCCCCTGGATGGAGCTCTGCCCCCAAACAGTCAGTTTGTGCAACGTGTTGCCCCTGCCACGCCCTGCCCTGGCGCCCCGCCCTCAGCACTTCTTCCCGAGTTCCGGTGCTGTGCTGGCTGGAGGAGCCTTCTGAGACACCAGGAGCTTCACGGTCTCAGGGGTCTCCGCAGCTCCTGAGGTTCGGGTTGCTGCTGCCAGCCTGGAGGTGGAGTTTGCTCCCTTTGGCTCTGTGGGCTGGAAGCCTTGTGGGTGGCTCAGGCCTGGGGAGGCTTCAGTCCCCCCACCCACAGAATTGTTACCTGAAAAGCCAGGCGAGCACGGCCCCACCCCCACCCCGGGGCACAGTAACCGGCTTCACTTGTCCCCAGCCCCAGGGGATCAGGACTCAGAGCTGGAAGCTTCTAGAGCTGCCTGGGCAGGACTTTGTGTGCTGGGATAGGAAGGACCACACCTCCTGACTCTGGCCTGACAGGGCAGCCTGGAACCTGAATGCCAGCCCCGGCACAGTGGGAGCCAGGTGGTGACACAGTGCAGCTCTGCTGGCTGGGGAGACGCTTGTGGTCGGCCAACATGGCTTCTGTGATAGGACACTGGCAGGGCGGTCTGGGGCACGCGCAGAGGCACCTGAGCCCTGCTGCTTGTCACTGCAGTGTCCCTGTTTGCATGGGGACACGTCCTCCTTTGTGGAGCATTTCCGTTACTGTTTACTGGGCCGGGCTGGCAGGAAGGGGTCTCAGGAGCCAGGGGTCTGTCGCAGCCCCTGGAAGTTCCGTCCACCTTGTCTGGCAGTGCAGGGGGGGGCGCCCCCTGCAGCAGGGGCGGAGGAGGCACACAGTGGGTGCAGCGGTTCTTGGTGGCCACCTGAGTCTCAGCACCAGAACTTGGCAGCCGCAGAGTAGGGCCAGTTCCACCTCCCTGTGGGCCCCCAGGGTGCCCGCTGAGCAGCAGCTTCCTGGAGGAGGGTGGGGGCCACCTCCACGCTGGGCCCAGAGACTGAATGAGTAAGCAGGACAGTGATCCAGGGCTGTGTGTGAGGACAGGGTGTGTGTTCAGGGGAGCTGAGGGGTGGGCGGCCATGGCCTCCCCGCGGTGGTCACTGGCACAGATAGGCAGCTGGTCCTGCAGAGGAAGTGGGCAGGGCGGAGGTACTGGTGCAGGTCCTGGCCCCTGGCTGCTTCCTGGACGGGTCTCTTGTACCACATGGGCTCTCCAGGCTCAAGAGAGAGGAAGATGAGCCTGGGGGGGGCACGGAGAGGTGGACCCCAGTGCCTGGAGGCTGCTACACAAGCTCTTTAGCAGTGAGTTGTAGCCACAGCCCTCTGTATTTTGGAGCCATGCTTGATCTGGAACTTGTGACCCTCCTTCCTCAGCTTTCAAAGAGCTGCGATTGCAGCTGTGTTCTCGGTGCCCAGCTGAGCCACGCCTTTTGGCTCCACGACAGGGGCTGCCTGTGGGTCCTGCTCTAACCCTGATGGGCTTGTTCATCCAGAGAGCAGAATTTATCTGAGAAGTACAAGATGGGGGGTAGACAGACAGACAAGTGCTACAGTGGTCTACTTAGGTGAAGAGCCCAGGCGTGAAGGGCACGGCTGCGGCAGTGCAGGTGACCCCCCGTGCCCTCCAGGCTGCTGTGGCCCAGTGCAACATTTCTCCTTGGGCCTGCAGTGTTGCCCAGGCCGCTGCTCAGGTGCAGCCTGGGCACCCCGTGGCCTGAGTTGAGTGAGGCCGAGACCTCATCTTATTTACCTGCTCTCTGTCCTGCCTGTGATCTTGAGATCCCATCAACCCCAGACGGCAGCTGCTTGGGAACCCGGGTACAGTGACTCACCAGTGAAGTCACCGGGCAGGCAGGGACTACCTGGGGACAAGCAGGGCAGGTGACCTCCTCAGGCAGATGAGCCAGTGGTGGGGTGGCGCACGGGGCAGAAGGTCGGGGAGCACACGGCTGGGCGGGAGCCACCTGGGCGTGGAGGCTTGGGCAACCTGGGCCACACAGCGGCCGCCCTCACACTGAACCGGCCGGGCCTGTACCTCTTTCTGGGCTTCAGCAATCGCTGGTCTCAGGCGGTGGCTCTCACACCGCAGCTGCTGGCACAGGCAGGGCCAAGCAAGCCCTACGTCAAGTCCCAGGCCAGAGCCCAAGCCCTTCCCAGCTGTGCGCATGCCTGGCCAGGCATCAGTGGCCAGGTCGGGCCTCTGGGGGACTGAATGGAAGGGGGCCACCCCCAACCAGGTCCCCAGAGCACACAGGGTGGTGATTCCCAGAGAGCTTCTCCGAGGGGGTCCCACGGGCAGTCCCAGCCGCCTGCACATGACGCCGGTCTGAACCTCGGGCGGCCCCTCTGCATCTGCAGAAGCATTCACGGGTCCCTCATCTGGTCTCCTGGGATGCAGCCCTGGGTGGCAGCCAGAGGCCGAGTCTCCTGGAGGACAGCAGTACCAAGTGGGGGCTGCGGCCCGGCCCCACTGGCCAGGCCTGAGGATTCTGGGAGCCCCACAGTGTAGAGCCCAGATAGACAGAGGGGTGAAGTGCATATGGCTTCCAGAGGGGTCCACTGAAATATCCGTAAAGGGTCCCGGATAATAGAGCCATAATGGGGCTCCCCTACCATACTGTCCTAAACAAGGACCCCATTAATGCTGTCACAGATGGCCCCAGGCCAGGCCCACCTGGAACAGTGGCTGGTCCTGTGTGTCGCGAGGCTGGGCTGTCGCTGCCTGGCTCTTCAGCCTGTGCAGCTGGGAGAGGGGCATCCAGGGCCCCAGACCAGGGCCCACACGGGTCTACGCTGTGACCGGTGGGCAGAGGTTTCTGGAGTGACTCTAGGATCTGTCCTGGTGGTGAGAGGGGCCTGGGGTCAGGCAGGACAGGATGAGGCCTGTGTCCCATCCTCTAGAGCAGGCATGGGAGGGGTGGAGGCGGGGTCTGAGACAGGCACTGTGCCCCAGTTTTAGTGAGCGTGGTTTCATTACAGTCGCCCCCGCATCCACAGCCCGTGCCCAGGCCCACTCTGCCTGCCCTCCTGTGTTGTTTTCCCTGGATGCTCGTCCTACCTGTGAAGCCTTCACACCAGGCAGGAGACTGACCACAACGACTAACAATAGCATAGAACAATTGTCTCTGTGAACAGCGGCAAAAGTGTGGGAACGTATCCATTGTTCATTTCTGGATTCTCCATTTAGTGGTTCGGACTGGCTGGCTGTGGGCACCAGAGACTCAGATGAGCAGGACCATTGCACACAAGTTCTCTGTCGATAACTTTTTTTTTTTTTTGGTACCAGGGATTGAACTCAGGACCTTGCCCAGCAGGCGTTTATGCCACTGAGCTAAACCCCCGGCCTCCTTCCATACTTTTTGTAAAAATGGGAACATTCAGTTGGAGAAGCCTGAACGCCCCTCACAGCCTGCAGCCTCAGCCCCGTCCAGAGACCCTGGCCTGCGGGGGGTCCAGGGCTTGGCTGAGTCTGCCCGGGAGAGCCCTTGTCTGGTGCTGCCCCCTGGTCTCTGGGGTCACAACCCCACAGCCCTGCCTCTGCGTGTGTGCGACTCTCTAGGATATGTGTCCGAGGCG